AGATTTCCCTCTGCAAAACAGCTTATATAAAGAGAATCATACAATATGTAACTTTTTGTCTGGCTTTTTAGGGTAACCTTGTCAAGTTTCAACCATGTTGTCGTTTATATCAGGACTTTACTCTTTTGTGTGTGTGTGGCTGAGTCACAATCCCATTACATAGATATACCATATTTTATTTATTTGTCAGTTGATGGACATTTGAATTGTTTGCACATTTTTGGCTATTATGAATAATGCTGTATGGGACATTTGTATACAAGTTTTTGTGTGGACATACATTTCATTATCTTGGGTATGTGTATACATAGGAGTCAAACGGCTAGATCATAGGGTAACTCTGCTTAACTTACCAAGGGATTCCACATTACTTTCCTTGCCAGTAGTATGTGAGGGTTCTAGTTTCTCCACATACTTTCCAACAGTTGTTACTGCCCTTTTAATTTTTTCCATCCTAATGGCTGTGAAATATCTTATGATCACTGTGCCTTTTGAACCTACAGTGCAGAGATTTTTTTTTTTTTTTTGACAGAGTGGACAGTGAGAGAGAGACAGAGAGAAACGTCTTCCTTTGCCGTTGGTTCACCCTCCAATGGCCGCCGTGGCCGGCGCGCTGCAGCCGGTGCACCGCGCTGATCCGATGGCAAGAGCCAGGTACTTATCCTGGTCTCCCATGGGGTGCAGGGCCCAAGCACTTGGGCCATCCTCCACTGCCTTCCTGGGCCACAGCAGAGATCTGGCCTGGAAGAGGAGCAACCAGGACAGAATCCGGCACCCCGACCGGGACTAGAACCCGGTGTGCTGGCGCCGCAAGGCGGAGGATTAGCCTAGTGAGCCGCGGCGCCGGCTTAGTGCAGAGATCCTATACCAGAAACCAGCAATCCATTCTTTGTAGGCTACTCCCTTACTGCTCATTTCCTCTCTTCTTTGATAACAAGACTATTTAACCTACTTCAGATAAGATTATATGACCATCTTACCTCCAATCTCTCTCCTTATAACAGACCTTCAGAAATTGTTAGCTTTTTCATTCCAGTGATTGTTACACATTAAGCTCTCAATTTATTTTTCCCTGACATTTTGAAAGCCATCTATAGAACAATACATCCTTAGTTTCCTCTATGTATCCATACTAGGAAGTTACCCATTTGACCTATTGCACAAAAGATCTCTTGTAATCATGCATTCAATTTAAGGAGCAAGGTTTTTTTTGTTTTGTTTTGTTTTTTAAGATTGATTTTATTCGAAAGGCAGAGTTACAGAGAGGGAAAGGCAAAGAGGAAGAGATCTCCCATCTGTTGGTTCACTCTCCAAATGACTACAACGGCCAGGGTTGGGCCAGGCCTAAGCCAGCCTGGAAGACCATCTGGGTCTCCCAAGTGGGTGGCAGGGGCCCAAGGACTTGAGCCAACTTCCACTGCCTTCCCAGCTGAGTTAGCAGGGAGCTGGATTGGAAGTGCAGCAGCTGCAATTCAAGCCAGCATTGATATGAGATGCTGTCATCACAGGTGGCCCCAAGGAGCAAGTTTTATATAAAAGGGATGTGTATGATTTGAATAGAATGAAATTGAAATGCTAGCCAGACTGCTGCAGGTATGGGAAAACAAGTACTCTCAAATACTACTGTCAATGTAAACTGGCAGAAACATCAAGAGAAAAGTAGGTGGCTATTTGATAATTATCAAAAGCCTTAAAACTTTTCATTAACTTTGACTCAATTATTCCAAGACATTATCCAAGGAGTGAAAATGTTCACCATAGGGGATTACACTGCCAAACTGGTATATGCATAACTTTGAAGGTTGTACAATTGTTGGAAATTATGCAGAACTATATTGTCAAATGAACACATTTCATGATCTTTTTTTATTTATTTGACAGAGTTATAGACAGTGAGAGAGAGAGAGAGAAAGGTCTTCCTTCCGCTGGTTCACTCCCCAAATGGCCACCAACGGCGGGCGCTGCGCCGATCCGAAGCCAGGAGCCAGGTGCTTCCTCCTGGTCTCCCATGTGGGTGCAGGGCCCCAAGCACTTGGGCCATCCTCCACTGTCCTCCAGGGCCACAGCAGAGAGCTGGACTGGAAGAGGAGCAACCGGGACCAGAACCCGGTGACCAAGTGAGCCATGGCGCCAGCCCCTCATTATCTTTTTTAAAGGAGACAAAACACTATAAAAAAACAAGGAAGAAATGTTTAGGGTTGGGGAGACTTTTCCACCAAATGTTCACTAATGGAAAAATCTATTTTGGAGGGGAAAGGAAGCAGATGTGCACAGACAACTGTGAACAAGAGACTTAAAGATGGAGGTCCCTCACCTTCCCATTCCTTCTCCCCCCATCTCCCTTGTGAGACCCAATTTTCCCTCCTGCCTCTGAAGACATGTCACTCCTTCCAGTAAATTGCCTTGTTTGAATGAGTTTCTGTTCTTCACAATTAAACAATTTGAAACTCAGATAACTTAAGCCTAACTAAAGACAGAATCTAAAGAAGTAGTCTGTAATTGTGCATTCTTAAGACTAATTCTAAACGTTCCACTTACTATGAAACCTTCTTTTCATGTCCAGTCTAGCCTCTACTTGCTGAGACAGATTTTACATCTTTCCAATGAAAAAACAATCAATCTGTTTACCATATGGAGGACAAATGTCATGGCTGAATTACTTCCTTGACTTCTGTGTGTGGAGAAACAAACTAGTTCATAGGAGGTTCAAGGAGAGAGTATAATTACACTTGATCTTAGCCAAAAGGCTGAGAAGCAATGAGAGAGTGTAATTAAAGTTAAGTTTATTTTGGTGTGAAAAATTGCAGTCCATGCAGTTTTTTCATAATATGCATTTTCCATAAATTTCTTGAATACTCCTTGTATATCTGGTATTTGATTTTTTTTCTGTAATCTCATCTCTTACTCCTTCTTCCTTATTGGTAAAATAGAATATTAGTAGCAAAATATTAATAGAAATAATAATAATGAAATATTTGTATATTGTTAAAGCATTATCATATTTGATTCTCTTAACCCTGTCAGATAAAAGGTAGTGTGATTAGCCAAATTCCTTATTTGAGAAACCTAAGCAAACATTTATTTATAGTGGGAAGTAATTTTGTTGTCATCCATTCTGACTATAAAATTAATGCAGAAAGCAACTAACTTGGCAAAACATTCTTCTGCAAAAATATTCATTGATACTTTATCAAGTAAAAAAGCTGTCAGGAATAACTTGCTTCAAACTTATACCATTATTTAATTTAAAAAGAACTCGTTCAAAATATTTGGGGATCTTTGTATAAAGGAATATTTTATTCAAATATTTACTGGTATCTCCTATGTTCCAGAAACATACTTCCCTGCCATCAGGAGCTTATATTCTAGCAGGGAAGGCAGTCAAGCAATCACCAGACGGTGCTCCGTGGGTGAAGAACCGGAACAGGCCACCTTAAGTGGAGAAGGCCACTCCCTTTGGTTCTAGCCACACCCACAGCTACCTAATTTGTCCTGAAGTATGTGATGTGACTCTTAAAAGCCAAGAAATACCAGACGCAAGTTACATCAGCGTAGTCTTATTTTCTTTGGCATCTTCTATCTTACTTCAGACCCAAAGTGCTCCACATTTAACACATTCCATGCCCTCTGGCCTCCGCCTACCTTGTTTGCTCATTCAGCATCAGATTCCCAGGTCTTCCTCCTTGCAAGTTGGCGCTGTCTGCAGTCCAGCCCCTCTGCTGGAACCTTTCTTCCAGCCACCATTTCTCACCATGGCCTCTCTCTCACCACGGTTCTCTGTCTTTGGAGAGCGTAAAATTGAAAGCCTTCAGCACAGCACAGCCCCCTACCCTGTTCGTGTGGCACATGCAGCCTCTCTCACTGGTGTCTCAGGGCTCTGCAGATTCCACTCCCTCCTCCTCGCAGGCTCCTGCTTCTCCAAAACACATCTCAATAACAGCTGTCTTTGTAAAGCCGACCCTGAGTCTCTGATCAGCCTCCTCCCCAGCATCCAGAGGATGCTGTCATTATTTGGTCAGGTATCCATAACGCTTCCTTCACACCCAGCTGTCAGTCCACTCTTTGCATATCACAGACCGGGTAACTTAGAAAGAGAGGAATGTATTTCTCACGGTGCTGGGGGCTTCGAGTCCAAGGTCAAGGCCCCAGCATCTGGTGATGGCTCCTACTTCATCCCCACGTGGCAGAATGCAGAAGAGCAGGAAAGGGCAAACCTGCTCCCAGCTCTCACAGGCCCTGAAAAGAGCAGCACGGATCCCTTTGTGAGGGTGGATCCCTCCTGATCTAAATAGTGCTGTGGCATGGAGGATTACGTTTCTAACACATGAATTTTGGGCGATGCATTCGGACCATGCAGGACCCAACGGCTAACGAAGGATCAAGCATAAACAGGCTTAGGAGCGTCCTCAGGGACACGGAAAGGCAAACAGGTTTCCTGTCCCCCTCCTCCAAATCCAATGCTGCCCTCCCCACCACCACCACCCGTGCATCCTGCCCAGCCTCCTGTGTGCGTGCAGAGACCTGGCCTTGGAGGGAAACACAGCTAAGAGGAAAGAGGGAGACAATCTGGGCTTTCATTTTCAAGGGCGGACCTGCATTCACCTTTGGAATAATTCCAGCTGTCAGAGAATGCGTTTTAGAATGTAACCTTCCCCAGACGACGAGCTGCAAAACCACCGCAGCCGCAGTGTGCAGGGACCGACCCAGCGTGCTGGCTTCCGAGGCGTGTCTCGGGTGTAAACCATCCACACTGATGCTCACACAGCCTTTACGAAACCCACCAGCAGCTGGGGGCGCCCAGCTGGGAAAGCCCGCCGAGGCGCCACTGGCCACTCCCTCAAGCCTCCAGCCACCTCTGGGGACGTGGATGCTCCCGGGAGCCTCCGGCCCGCCTCCCCGCGTCTGCCGGGGCCGGAGGGCGGGACCCGCCACGTGGAGGCGCGGCCGCGATTCTCGGAAGGAGCCTACGCCGGCGCCGCGGGGCAGCTCTGGGTCGGCCCCGCGCCCCCACGTCAACGGCGGAGGCCGGGCGGCCCGGATTTACTCCGTCGCGGCTGACGTAACGCCATCGTGCGGGACGTAGACGGAAGTGAAAGGCGAGTGAGCGGGCTTCAGAATCAGCCTGGCGTGGAGTGAGGGCCGGGCTCGAGTCCGGGGGCGGCGGCTGAGAGCGTGCGCGGCGTTGGCGGCGGCGGCGCCTAGGCAGGTACGCGGCATAAGCCGCCGGGTGGGCGATGCGCCGGCGCCTCTGAGGAGGCTCACTCGCGCCCGGCCGCGGAGGGGCCGCGGGGACGCTGGCCCAGCAGGTGCAGGCCGAGGCGGGGGGCGAGGGGGGGGTCCCCTCGGGTGGGCGTGGGTGCTGGCCGCTGGCTGGGCCGGCTCTGGGCCTCCAGGGCCGTGCTGCAGAGCCCCGGCGCGCTTCCATATGCCGGGCGCCGAGGCCCTGGGGTCTGCGGATCGCTACTGGTTCCAGTCTCCGTGGCGGTCCCCCCGGGTACATCCAGGAGAGGGACTGGGCCTCCCCAGTCTCTGCAGGCCTCCTCTCGGCCGGAGAGCCTGGAACTAGCTTGCAGCCAGCGCATCTGCCCCGGCGGTGGAGGTGGTGGTGACCGGTGCACCCCGCTTTATAACCGGCCACGGGCCGACTCTCAGGGCCGTTCCTGATCCTCTGCTGAAAGCCAGGCTCCTCTGCAGCCGGGCACTTGGCTGCGACCGCCTTTTGCTGCGTGGCGTGCGGTGTGTGGTAGAGAATTCCTTCCTGCGCATCAGGGACACCTGGAGCCCCCCCCCCCCCAACCCCGGCCTCCCAGGTGGTGAGAACGAACCTCACTAGGTCTGGTGTGTGGAGTGGTGCGTCCGTCCACTTAGCATGTGTTCCAGGGACAAGGTTGCTGAGACAGAGCGAAGTTCAGCTCTCTGACTCCGGGAGATAAGAGCGTTCTGCATAGAATTTGTCGAGAGGCGCTTGAGAAAGGGCTCGGTCATAACAGGGAAACTTGTTGCAGCTGATGACACCGAGTCTAGACACACACACGCACGCCCTTTGCTCCTTGGGGTCAGCTGTCTGGTTATAAACTCCGGCAGGGTGAATGGGCTGCAGTGAGGGAGTGGCCGTCCCTTCTGGAGGTCTGTCGGCCCCGAGCTGGACAGAGGAGAGGCCAGCAGGCTCAAGTCTACATCAGCCTCCCTCTTAGCAGACCTTAAACCTTCAGGGCTTGCTTAGATAAGAGACCCTTAAACAGTAACTGTGTGTGTGATTACACCCATTGGAGGATGGGTGCACGTAGTGAGTTCTGGTGGAAATAAAACATTCAAAGGTTGTAAGCCGCTAGTGCCCAACAGACAGAAGAAGACTGACATTGAGCATTTGTTGTACCCAAGCACTTTCCATGCCTTATCTCATTTAATTCTCACAATCTTATGAAGTCTTTACTGCTGTTATCCCTGATTTACAGTAAGAAAATAAAGTCTCGAATTCAGTAACCCTTCAAAAGGCACACAGCTAGCAAGGGGAGAGCTGAAACCCAAATTGGTCCACTCCAAGTCCGTTTTTCCCCTTGCTCTTTACGGTGCTGTCAGTGGGCGGTGTAAAACTCCAGCTGGGAGAGGCGACAGTGAATGTGAACCAGTTAAAAGCTGGCCTGTAGGATTATGTCCAACCTGGAAGGCTACAGTTGCCAAAGTTTCCTGGAGGAGATGAAACTGGAATTTAGTGTTACTATTTGCTTATTTACCCTTTGACTCGTCTGTAGGTGTTTTTGAAATACTCACATGTAAATAAATGTTTAGCAACCATTGCTGCTGGAATTCATATAATAATCAACAAACACAGACCGTGGACTTAAATCATATGCAAAAGCTGAAGTCAGCAAAGATAGCGCTTAATACTTCCTACTGCCTGCTGGATGCCATATGTTTCATAACCCTGTATCCTGCCTGTCTCCCATTTCTGTGCCTTTTAGAGCAGCACATGGCTTTCCTGATTTTCATTATGGGACTAACTGCTAATCTTTTGAGGCACATTTAAGAGGTCTTCAAGCAAAAAAAAGACTGCATGTTGTATCTTGGAAAACAGCAGTATCCTTGTAGCCTAAGAGGTGCAGTAATAGATTACTTGTTCTGTGTGTAAATATAGGAAGGAATTCCCTACATTTTTGTGAAATAAGATGTTCTTTTCTTTGCCTAAAGCCTCAAGTTTGACCCAAAATGGGAAAATATCCATAGCCATTGCGTTCTCAAGTCTGAGATTTGTAGCCGCATACTTACCCTCACAATCTGCGTATATTCATGTGTTCACGACCATTTAAAATACTAACCAGTTGCAGGTATTCTCGTGGGCAGCCAGGAAGAAAGAGTTAGCAATGCCCTCTGGCGTTTTATCTCTCTTCTTGTGGCTGACAGGAATCAAGCTGACCTTTCTAATGTGTGGGTTTCAGGGTTCATTTGGGAGGTGATAGCAGGAAGGTAGAGATGGACACTCTAGGATGCTGGATCTGTTATTGATGTCTTGGAGACACCCTCCTCCCCCAAACAGTATAGGAATTGTAACAAAGATTTACTACAGTATGTAACTATTGAAAATCTTGTCATTCAAAATAGTCATAATCCCTAATCGCTATTTGCTTCCATGGCTTACATAAAATAAAAGCTCAGGGGATTGTAGGAAAGGAAAGGCTATGGTTGGGGCCTGGGGAAGAGCCCTTTGCTCTTTCTCTTTTCTGTCGTACTGAGGAGGTGGGAGTTTCCCTGATGGAGCAGTTCTGTCAAGGGTTTGCTCTAAGAGTGTGGGGCAGTGCATTGCCTAACATTTTTCATTATTTGGTTTTTAAAAATGCATTTTGCAGGTACTTTGAACAGTGATCACATCTCAGCATGTTGAGTCAAGTTTATCACTCTGGGTTCAAGCCCTTCAACCAACGTCTTCTGCCCTGGGTCCAGTCCACAGCTGTTACCAGATCTCGTATGTACCGTGGAAATTTCTAAGTATGTGGGAACTTGGGTGGTCAAAGTGTGATTCAACAAGGTTTTAAAGGAGAGAAGAGAATGTAGGTTCAGGAGTGGGCAGTCAGCCTAGCAGGTAAGTGCCTGGTTTTGAGTCTCAGCTCCAGCTCTTGACTCCATTGCAGTTTTCGGGGAGCCAGCAGAGATGGCTCAGTCATTGGAATTCTGCCACCCACTTGGGAGACCTGAATTGCAAGTGTGGCTCCTGGCTTCAGCTTAGGCCCAGCTCAGGCCATGATGGGAAGTTGGGGAGTGAACATGCAGATGGGCGCTCTTTCCCTCTGTCTCTCTACCTCTCAAATATACTAAAAAAAAGTAATAATTTTAAAAATGTATTTTGGTAGAATTGGACAAAAACAAAGAGGCAGCCAGCCTCCTGGGTGGAATGATTGTCAGCCAAGTATTCCCTAGTGTCCCCCATCCTCTGATTTTATAGTCGATTTTTTTAAACTTTCGTTCATTACTATTTTTTGTAATTAGGCACTTAATTTTGAGATAATAATAGATTCACTTGCAATTACAAGAAATAATACAGAGGCCGGTGCTGGAGTTTGGCAGGTAAAGCCACTGCCTATAATGCCAGCATCCCATATGGGCGTCAGTTTGAGACCTAGCTGCTCCACTTCCCATCCAGGTCTCTGCTATGGCCTGGGAAAGCAGTAGAAGATGGCCCAGGTGCTTAGGCCCCCGCACCCATGTGGGAGACCCAGAAGAAGGGCCTGGCTCCTGGCTTCAGGTCAGCCCAGCTCCAGCCATTTGGGAAGTGAACCAGTAGATGGAAGATCTCTCTCTGCCTCTGCTTTTCTGTAACTTGTTTTCCAAATAAATAAAGAAATCTTTAAAAAGGAAGAAGGGAGGGAGGGAGGGAGGAAGGATACAGAGAGGTCCCTTATGCCTTTTACCCACTTTCACCTAGTATGTCCACCAGAGCTATTGCTAGTGAAGACAGAGCATCGCAGTCATCCCAGGCTCTTTCTTGTTTCTCTTAAAGCCATCCTCTCTTCCCTGCCCCTAACCTTAGCTCCCAGTAATCAGTTCTGCATTTTTTAAAAATAATTTTATTTATTTCTTTGGGAGGTAGAGTTCTAGACAGAGGGAGAGACAGAAAATCTTCCATCCACTGATTCACTCCCCAATTGGCTGCAGCGGCGGGAGCTGGGCCGATCCGAAGCCAGGTACCAGGAGCCACTTCCAGGTCTCCCACGTGGGTGCAGGGGCCCAAGCACTTGGGCCATCTTCTACTGCTTTCCCAGGCCATAGCAGAGAGCTGGATCGGAAGAGGAGTAGCTGGGACTCGAACTGGTGCTGGTCCCCAGTTCTGCATTTTTATAATTTGGTCATTTCAAAATGTTGTATAAATGAATTATACACTACTTGACTTTGAGACTTTTTTTTAATTCTGCATAATTCCCTGAAGATTCTTTTAAAAAGCTGTGTGTTATCAGTTGGTTCCTTCTTATTACTGAGTATTATTCAATGGTATGGGTGTACCAGTTAGTGTAACTATTTACCCATTGAAGGACGTCTGGATTTCTGTCCATTTTTTGGCTGTGAGCATTCATGGAAAATATTTTGTGTAAACATGGTTTGCAGTTCTGTGGGATAAATGCTGCAGAGTGTAGTAGTGTCAGGTGGTAGTTGCATGTGTAACTTTATAGGAAAACATTAGGCTGTTTATGCAGGGTGACTGTACCACTACATTCCCACCAGCAGTGTATGAGTGATCCACTTCCTCCGCGACTTCACCTGCATTTCATGTTGTCACATGTTAGTGTTCTCATGGGTATGTGGTGATTTACACTGAGACTTTTCTTTTAAACAAACAAAAGTCTATTTATTTATGCATTTGATAGGCAGAGCAACAGGAAAGAAGAGGAGAGATATCTTCCATCTGCTAGTTCACTCTTCTAATGGCTGCAACAGCCAGAACTGAGCGAAGCTATAGCCAGGAACCAGGAACTCCATTCTGGTCTCCCATATGGATATCAGGGGCTCACGTACTTAGACCATCTTTTGCTGCCTTCCCAGGCACATTAGCAGGAAGCTGGATAAGTGCTTGGGCCCTGCACCCCATGGGAGACCAGAAGTACCTGGCTCCTGCCATCAGATCAGCGCGGTGCGCCAGCCGCGGCGGCCATTGGAGGGTGAACCAATGGCAAAGGAAGACCTTTCTCTCTGTCTCTCTCTCTCACTGTCCACTCTCTGCCTGTCAAAAAAAAAGAGAGCAGCAAGGACTCGAACTGGCATTCTGATATGGGAAGCCTGGGTTGCCAGCAGCAGTTTAACCCACTGTGCCACAACGCTGTCCCCTATATTGTGACTTTCACTTGCTTTTCCCTCAGGGCTAGTGATGTGGAACATCATCCCATGTGACTGTTTGCCACCTGTTTATCCTCTTTAGTGAACTGTCTGTTCATGTCTTTTGCTCATTTGGTAACTGATTTTTTTTTTAACTGTTGAAGTTTAATAATTCTTTACATCTTCTAGATACTAGTCCCTTGTCAGGTAGCGTGGCTTGCAAATATTTTCCTCCTAGTTTGTGAGCTTGTCATTTCATTCTCTTAACAGAGTTTTTCACAAATGAAAGGTTTAATTTTGATGAAATCCAGTTTATCAGTTCTTATGGATTATGCTTTTAGAATCAGGTCCAAGAACTCTTTGTATAGCCCTAACTCCTGAAGGTTTTCTGTTTTACTCTAACGGTTTTGTAGTTTTCCCTTTTACGTTTAACTCTGTGGTCTATTTTAAATTCTTTATAAAGCAGGTGTAGGTCAAGGTTCCCTTTTTTGCCAGTGGAGATTGGTTGCTCCAGAAGAGCTGTTCGTGGCATTTTGAATTGGCCAACTCCTTGGTGTCACTGAAATCGTATCACTGTCCGTCTTCAAGCCTAGCTGAAGGATGACTTGCTAATCCATTAATCATGCTTATCATCATCCAGAAAATCTCTGTTTCTCTTTCATATAAAGAAGAGTGTAATGGCTGAAAGTTCAGGATCCAGAGTCAGGTTCCCTGGGTTTAGAAACTACTCTGCTGCTTGCTAATTAAATAACTTAGTGATCTAAAACAACAACTGTCTATTTAGGTCACAATTCTGTGAGCTGGCATTTTGGACTGGGCTCGGCTCATGGTGCTTCCGTGTCTGTGTCAGCTGTCAGACTGACTCAGGGCTGATTGCTGGGGAACAGGGGGCCTCCCCTGGGAAGCTTGACGTTGACCGTGTGATCTCCCACCCCACAGTGGGCTTTCCATGGCTTCTCCTGAGCAGCAAGCCTGGAGGCTGCAGGGCCTCCTGGGGCCGACTCAGAATTTACACAGTGTTCTGCTTACATCATTTCGGCTAAAGCAAGTCACAGGGCCAGTCCAGATTCCAGGGGTTGGAAAACCAACTCCACCCATTGATGGGAGCAGCTGCCAAGTGTTATAGCCAATTTTATCATCTGTTAATGTGGGTAAATTACTCAGTTTCCCTGGGCCCCGTTTCCTTATTTATAAAACAAGGATAATAATGATAGCTCATAGTAATACCTAACACTTGAGGCTTTACACAGGCAAATTCAGGTAGGCTGGTGAGGATGGTGGATAACACTTTTATAATACCACCTGATACTTGTTGAATGTTCACTTTGTGCCAATCCTTGTCCATGCATTGGTTTACTTCATGCACTGACTCTTTTCACCCCCCATAATAACCTTTTGTGAGAGGTATGGTAACAGCAAGTAAGTGGAGGGCTTGAGGTTCCAACTCAGGCTGCCATGCTCCAGAGCCTGTACTTAATCCCATTGACAGCTTCTCCTTCTGTATACATAGTTCCTAGTACATAGTAAGTGTTCATAGTAGTATTTCTATTGTTGACTTTTCTCATTCACAGAAGGAGGTACTTTCTGATCTCATCCGTAGATTTTTAGATTTTTGTATCCAGATTTTTCTGGAGCATGTGTTTTGTGTTCACGGAGCATGATGAGCAGAAGCATAGAGAATAAGGGCAAAGTGAGAAGACTATGAAAGCAAACACAGACGGAAATAGAAGGCTAGGAAGAGAGAGAAATCATGTCACGGTCCCTTGTTCAAGCCTGAAACACAGCCTCACTGACTGCTGAGGATAAGGATTCTGATGCAAAAGAAATGAAGGGTTTTTTTGAGCAGTGGGAACAGCCAGTCCTCCCACTCCACACAACATAGGCATCTGTGTACCCACGTGTACCTCATCTTCTCCTCCTGCCTACTAGGCTTTTCCTTGGGACTTAGAGCCTAAAGGTTCCTTACAAGATGAGAAAGGATTGCTCAGCAAGAAGCCTTGGATTTTCCCAACTATCAAAGTTTTCTCAGTCCTCAGTATGAACCCCAACAAGTGTAATATACTTTAGAACATTTGAAAAATACCCCAAAAGGGACTGGCACAGTGGGTTAAGCTGCTGACAGTAACACCAGCATCCGTATAAGTGCCTGTTCAAGTCCTGGCTGCTCCACTTGTGATCCAGCTCCCTGTTGATATGCCTAGGACAGCAGCAGAGGATGACCCACGTGCTTGGGCCCCTACTACCCACACGGGAGATCTGGGTGGAGTTCCTGGCTCCTGGTTTCAGTCTTGCCCAGTCCTGGCTATTGCAGCTATTTGGGGAGTGAACCAGTGGATGGAAGGTCTTTCTGTCTGTCTCTCTGTTTCTCTTTCTCCTCCCTCCTTCCTCTCTATCTCTGTCTTTCAAATAAATAAATAAATCTTTAAAAAAAATACTCCAAGAAAGATAGGGTCAGTCTGGGAGAGTAAAAGGCATTGGTCAGCAGGAAACCCAGAAAGCCCTGGATCCCTTGAAGTTCTGCTTGGTGCCAGAACCCACTGCACTTGACTAAGTTGGTACCTGCTTGAAACCCTGTCTGTAGTTGTGCCCTCCTTGAAACTTGTCAGCCCTTATCAACTACTATGACCCAGTTGCCTGCAGCCAGAGTGACCCTTGACTATCAGGAACTGGGCTGTGCCATCTCTGCTGCTGGTGCAGACTGTGGGTCAGAAGTTTCCCTCATGCTAGTCCGACTGCTGGGCTCTGATTGGCTTCTGCCATTTGACCACTTGGACTGACATACTTGCCACTACCTGTGTCCCTGAGGTGCCCTGTCAGTCTGTCCCCACCCACCCATGCTCTCCACCCTTCCAGAAAAGGACAGGCCCTGCAGTAGACAGGAGAGAAACACGGCCAACAGCCCTATCCCAAAAGCTGCCAAAGGGATACATAATGCTTGTGTAGCTCTGAGCTCCGTGAACATCAGTGATGAGCGCAGGTTCAAGCCATGTCATCAGGATCAGTTAGAAGAAACCTCCAGGGAAGCTCAGACTTCGCTGTATTTATCGCCTAGGATAATCTCCCTGAAGACTGACCCAGGGCACCTGTATTGATTAACCTAGTGAAGAAAGGTAGCTCTCCATGGACCTTTGCTCCAGCAACAAACTAGTCCTGGAGTCCCTAGGACGCCAGCAGGAAGAGTTGATCTGCACAGGGCGCCAAGCCCCGGTTTCGCCCCCCACCCCATGATAACCTCTTGAGCAGCTTTGCACCAGGAACTAGCCAGCAAGCCTACTGTGTATCTGCACAAACCTGCAATACTTCGCTTGAAAGAAATGGTTACTTAAAAGAGGACAGAAAGGGCTCATTACTGCTTTGTCAAAAAAAATTTTCCCCTGGATTTGTGTGTGAAGCAGGCAGGGAGGGAGAACACACAGTGCTCTTCCAGTCCGAGAGAGTGCGCTTCTGCCCACCTCCCCCACCACCACTACAGCGTGGAGAAAAAGGAAAGAGGCTGATTGTGGTTAGGGAGGGAATTAGGAGCTGGGATATAGAGGCAGAAGGTCTGAGATAGAAGTCTGTAGGTACGAAGAGAGTTGGACAAAAGCAGTGGCCCCCGAAGGTGATCCGGAATGATGGTTCCAACAGTTCACTCAGGTATTTGTCACTTGCCCATCATGACACTGAGAACTCGTGGTGGGGAGTTGCCTAAAGTTTAGTCCTGCCGAGAACCCCTTACCTGCCTCGTCTTGCTGCTTGCTGCCGGGGAGCCCCACTAAGCGAAGACGTCAGCTGTAAGACCCCACCACCACCACCACCACCACCACCATCAGCTGACAGCATCTCCCCTCCCACCCACGCCTCACCCTGCCCACTGCCTAGTACTCATTCTCCTTCTCTGTCGGTTGCAGTTAGTTATGTGTGACAGGAAGCTCAAAATAATGGCTCAGACAGGATAGATATATTTTTTCTCTCTCTCCTGGAAGCCTGGCAGCCCTACAAGAAAGTAGGCAGCCCAGGGCTTCCGGAGTAGCACTGTGAAATCAGGGGCCACGTGCCTTCCTCCTGTGGCTTCACAGCTCCTGGGGGTTTTCGTGTGGTCCAAATTGGTGATGATAATGATGTATCTGTGAGGCAGAGAGCCTGAGAACTCCCATCCACTGGTTCACTCCTCAAACGCCTGCAACAGCTCCAGGCCAGGGACTGAAGCCAGGAGCCGGGAACTCAATCTAGGTCTGCTGCATGGTTGGAAGGAACCCCATGACTTGGTTGAGCTGAAGCCCTTATGTTCTTGTTCCGTGCACAGGATGGATGAAGGGAAGAAGAAAGCACTTCTCTTTGTCAAGAAGCTGGTAGAAATCCCATGTTGTCTTTTTCACGTGTATCTCTTTAACCAGAACTCAGTCGCGTGGTCATGTCCCGCTGAGCAGGAAAGGCTGGGAACTGTGGCCTTGTGATTGGTGGCAGTTTGCCCAGCTGAAACCTGAGGATCTGTTAATTTGTGAGAGAAAGGGTGAATGGCAGGCAGCATGGGGAACTGGGCCTGTGACAAGGGGCCGAGGATTTTGTGCCTGACCTTCAGCTTTTACTCTTGCTTTTGCCCTTATGCAGATATATCTTCAGGGTTTTTGTTATGTTTTCAGATTTTATTTATTTCTTTGAGAAGTAGATTTAAAGGCAGAGAGAAAGGTCTTCTATCCGCAGGTTCACTCTCCAGATGGCCAAAATGGCCAGTGCTGAGCCGGTCCAAAGCCAGGAACCAGGAGCTTCTTCCAGATCTCTCACGTGGGTGCAGGGGCCCAAGGACTTGGGCCATCTTCTACTGCTTTCCCAGGCCATAGCAGAGACCTGGATTGCAAGAGGAGCAGCCAGGACACAAAACGGTGCCCATATAGGATGCCAGTGCTGCAGGTGGAGGCTTAGCCCGCTATGCCAGAGCGCCGGCCTATCTTCAGTTTTTTGATGGATAGAGAATTTTTTTTTTTCACTTAGACATCTTCTATGGTATTGTAAGAAAAAGAATCAGGAAAGGATTGCTTAAGGGCAGTGTCCAGAGGGACAGAAAGAGACTGACTCCACGATTACTTTCCTTCAGAAAGCCTCTGGTTTCTTGCATACTTGCTGTAGACATCTGAATTCGTGCTGCCTTGTCAGAGATGAAAATTGTAGGTGGATTACTTAGGATTTTCTGTTGTTCATGCCAATGGTCTTGTTCATTAACATCTTTGCCAATCAGACTCTTTTGGTAGTGGTGCAGTGCATTTGGAAGCACATATTTTTTTTCTGATTGTGAAAGCAATGCATTTTTATTGTATAAATTTGGAAAATATAGGAAAGAATAGAGAAGAATATTCAAAACCACCTAAAATTCCATCAAAAGATAAATTCATTATATATTTTGTTCATTTTTTTGTAACCTTTTAGGCATGTTTATGAAACTAACAGCATGAACATTTTCCTAAGTTATTAAAGTCAGCGTTGGTGGTATAGTGGTGAGCATAGCTGCCTTCCTAAGTTATTAAAAATTCTAAAAATATAAATTTATCTTCCCTTTTTTTGACATTTACTCTGCTTCTGGTTCTTCCTATCATAAATACCATTCTGGTGAACTGGCTTCTGATACTTCTCTGTCCTCATCTCTAATTTATTCCTTAGAGTAAATATCTAAATATGGAATTGCCAAATCAAAAGGTGTGAACAATATTAAAGCTTTCATTATACTTTTTTAAAAAGATTTATTTGAAGGCCGGCGCCGCGGCTCACTAGGCTAATCCTCCGCCTAGCGGCGCCGGCACACCGGGTTCTAGTCCCGGTTGGGGCGCCGGATTCTGTCCCGGTTGGCCCTCTTCCAGGCCAGCTCTCTGCTGTGGCCAGGGAGTGCAGTGGAGGATGGCCCAGGTGCTTGGGCCCTGCACCCCATGGGAGACCAGGAGAAAGCACCTGGCTCCTGGCTCCTGCCATCGGATTGGCGCGGTGCGCCGTCCACAGCATGCCGGCCGCGGCGGCCATTGGAGGGTGAACCAACAGCAAAAGGAAGACCTTTCTCTCTGTCTCTCTCTCTCACTGTCCACTCTGCCTGTCAAAAAAAAAAAAAAAAAAAAAAAAAAAAAAAAAAAAAAAAGATTTATTTGAAACAGTTACAGAGAGAAGAGAGAAAGAAAGAGCTTCCACCCACTGGTTCACTCCCTAAATGGCCACAACAGCTGGAGTTGTGCCAAGCTGAGCCAGGAGCCAGGAACTTCTTCCTGGTCTCCTACGTGGGTGCAGGGGCCCAAGGACCTGGGCCATACTTCACTGCTTTCTCAGGGCATTAGCAGGGAGCTGGATCTAAAGTGGAGCAGCTGGGTCTTGAGCCAACACCCATGTGGGTTGCCAGAGCCACAGGCAGTGACTTTACTCACTGTACCACAGTGCTGGCCCTGAGCTTTCATTATATTTTACCAATGTGAAATCTTCAGGAAAGATTTTTTTCATTTTTGCTCTTCATCAGCAGCATTTGAGTGTGTCTGTGACCTGTGTACCTGGTATAAATGCTATACAATACAATTAGAGCATATCAGATCTTTTGAGAGACTGGTTTCTTACAGTCATTGATAAAGCTATATTTTGGTCAATACTGTGTGTGCAGCTTTATTGAGAATTTATATTGTGTATTTCTTTTTTTCTTGCATTTGACTTTGGGGGCTACAGATCGTGTCCAGCCTCCAGCTGTCAGACATGTGCGTCCTTGGAGCAACATCCCTTTCATCACTGTACCTCTCAGTCGTGCACACGGCAAGTCCTTTGCCCACCGCAGTGAGCTGAAGCATGCCAAGAGAATCGTGGTGAAGCTCGGCAGTGCTGTGGTGACCCGAGGGGATGAGTGTGGCCTGGCCCTGGGACGCCTGGCATCTATTGTTGAGCAGGTAACTGTCAAAATGGAAAATTTTCCTGAGTTAAAAGAGGGTTTTTAAGTTATTAATTCAGGCTTAGCAATTCTGTTTTGAGTGTGATAGATGTAACCCAATCTGAAATTTTGTCCCCATTGCAGATGCTTGAAAAAGAATAAAGGATATTCAAAACAAATAGGACTGAAAGTGAAAGGATGGAAAAAGATATTCCATGCAAACGGAAATCAGAAGCAAACAGGAGTAGCTTTACTTATATCAGACAAAAGACACTTTCAGATAAAAACTGTTAAAAAGGGACAAAGTTGCTATACAATGATTAAGGGATCAATTCAACAAGATAGATCTAACAGGAGACATAAGCTCCAGTACAGTAACATTGGGGTACTTCAATACCCCACTTTCATCTGTGGGCAGATCAACCAGACCAAAAATGTCTATGCTATAGACCAAATGAACCTAACAGACATTTACAGACTGCTGCAGAATGCACATTGATTTCATCAGCATATGGAACATTGTCTAGGATAGGCCGTATACTAGGCCATAAAATAAATCTCAATAAATTTTAAAAAAAATTGAAATAATCAAATTCCTGGCATCAGCGTAGCCCAGCCCTGGCTTTTGCTGTCATTTGGGGAGTGCACCAACAGATGGAAGATTCTCTACCCACCCCCCTCTCGGTAGCTTTGTCTTTCAAATAAATAAAATAAATTTAAGAAAAGAAGGAATGCCTCTGACCACAATGGAATAAAGCTGTAATTTTTTTAAAGATGTATTTTATTTATTTGAAAGAGCCAGAGAGAGAGAGAGAGAGAGAGAGAGAGAGGTCTTCCATCCGCTGGTTCACTCACCAGATGACCGCAACAGTCAGAGCTGTGCTGATCTGAAGCCAGGTGCTTCTTCTGGGTCTCCCACATGGGTGCAAAGGCCCAAAGAGTTGGGCCATCTTCTACTGCTTTGCCAGGCCATCGCAGAGAGCTGGATCGGGAGTGGAGCAGCCAAGACTCAAACCGGCATCCATATGGGATGCCAGTGCTGCAGGCTGGGGCTCTAACCTGCTGTGCCACAGTGCCAGCCCCTAAAGCTGTAAATTTATAACAACAGCAACAAAAACTCTAGAAATTATACAGATAGGGGTTGGCACTGCAGTGCAGCAAATTAAACTGATGCCTGTGACACCAGCATCCCATATTGGTGCCAGTTCAAGTCCTGGCTGCTCCACTTCTTATCTAGTTCCCTGTTAAGGTGCCTGGGAAAAACAGTGGAAGATGGCTCAAGAGTCCTTGGGCCTCTGCACCCATATGGGAGACTCAGATGAAGCTCCTGGCTCCTGGGTTCAGCCTGGCACAGCCCTAACCATTGCGGCCATTTAAGAAAGAAACCACCAGATGGAAAATACATCTCTCTCTGGCGCTCTGCCTTTCAAATAAACAAAATAAATCATAGAAAAGAAACATACGCACCTGAACACAAATAAGACAAGCTGACAGCCAACATCATATTGAATGGTGAAGGACTTAACGGAAGCATTTCCACTAAGAACTGGACCAGGACAAGGATGTCTGCTTTCAGTATGTTATGCTGAAATTATGTCATGCTTATTCAGTATGGTTCTGGAAGTTTTAGCCAGAGCCATTGATGAAGAGAAAGAAAGAAAGAAAAGGTATACAAATTGGAAAGGAGGAAATCAATTTTTTCCTATTTGCAGATGACATGTTTCTCTATATACAGGAACCAACAGATTCCATCAAGGGACTATAAGAACTGAAGAGAAATTTAGCAAAGTTACAGATCACAAAATCAGCACACACAAATCAATAGCATTTTTAAGTAGCCAATAATGGGCTTCCTGAGAAAGAACTTACAAGAATAATCCCATTCATTATAGCTATAAAAATTAAATACCTTGGACAGATTTTACCAAGAACGTGAAATATCTCTACAATGAAAATTACAAAACACTAATGAAAGAAGTGGAAGAAGACACACAATAAAGGAAAGACCACCAATGTTCTTAGATTAGAAAAATTCAATATTATCAAAATGTTGGGGCTGGCGCTGTATTTCAGTGGATTAAAGCCCCAGCCTGCAGTGCCGCATCCCATATGAGCGCCAGATTGAGTCCTGGCTGCTCCTCTTCTGATCCAGCTCTCTGCTATGGCCTGGGAAAACAGTAGAAGATGGGCCAAGTTCTTGGGTCCCTGCACCCACGTGGGAGACCTGGAAGAAGCTCCTGGCTCTTGGCTACCAATCAGCTCAGCTCTGGCCACGGCGGTCATTTTGGGAGTGAACCAGCAGAATGGAAGACCTCTCTCTGGCTCTACCTCTCTCTGTATCTCTGTCTTTCAAATAAAATAATTAAAAAAAAAAAAAAGTCCGTACTACCCAAAGCAATTTACAAAGTTTCAAAGCAATCACCATCAAAAATACTGATGACATTCTTTACAGAATTAGAAAAGAATCTGAAATTGACGTGGAAACAGAAAGACCCTAGATGACCAAAGCATTAGTGAACAACGAAAGCAAAGCTTGAGGCATCACAATACCAGATTTCAAAACGCACTATAGGGCTATTATAATCAAAACAGCATGGTACTGGAATAAAAATTCTATGTTTTTTCTTGTGTAGTAAATAATACCAAGCATGGATGCCATATTTGGTGTATAGATATTTACAACTTGTTTTCACTGAACAATACCCCTTATATAACAATATACCCTTCTTTCTTTAAAAAAGTTTTTTTAAAGATTTATTTATTTATTTGAAAGAGTTACACAGAGAGAAAAGGAGAGGCAAAGAGAGAGAGAGGTCTTCCATTCGCTGGTTCACTCCCCACTTGACCACAATGGCCAGAGCTGCGTCAATCTGAAGCCAGGAGCCAGGAACTTCCTCCAGGTCTTCCCATGTGGGTGCAGGGGCCCAAGGACTTGGCCATCTTCTATTGCTTTCCCAGGCCATAGCAGAGAGCTGAATCAGAAGTGGAACAGCCAGGTCTCGAACTGGTGGCCATATGGGATGCCAGCACTGCAGGCAGCAGCTTTACCCGATACGCCACAGCACTGGCCCCAAATAATTTTTTAATAAACAATACCATGGGGATAATCAGGGAAATGTAGGCCAAGAAATCTTAAAGAATAGACAACTCAGTATAACAAATAATCACCAGAGGGGAAATAAAGGTGGTTGTGGATCCTATGGAAGAGATCAGGCCGGCGCTGCAGCTCACTAGGCTAATCCTCTGCCTGTGGCACCGGCACCCCGAGTTCTAGTCCCGGTTGGCACGCTGATTCTGTCCTGGTTGCTCCTCTTCCAGTCCAGCTCTCTGCTGTGGCCCGGGAAGGCAATGGAGGATGGTCCAAGTGCTTGAGCCCTGTACCCGCATGGAAGACCAGGAGGAAGCACCTGGCTCCTGGCTTCAGATCAGCACAGTGCGCTGGCCGTAGTGACCACTTGGGGGGTGAACCAACGGAAGGAAGACCTTTCTCTCTGTCTCGCTCTCTCTCACTGTCTAACTCTGCCTGTCAAAAAAAAAAAAAAAAAAAAGAAGAGACCAGTGTATGAACTTAATTTACATCCCAATATGAACCAGCTGGGAAAAGATTGGGGCATTGTGAACACTAACTGGCCATTTAATAATAAGGAATTCATTGAAGTATTTTTGAAGGTAATGGTTTTGTAGGTATATAATGATTTCAAAAAGTTTTTGGAAATTAGAATTAAAAGTTAAGTTGTATTTTAATACAAAACTCTTTTGAAATCCATGTGCATCAGGGATCTTCAAGAAGTTCATGGAAGATGTATTATAGACAAAAATGCATGAATTTCAGGTTTTTTTTTTCTTTGCATTTAAATAAACTTTTTTAAATTTTGTTTTCCATAAACTTGTTCAGGTACGCTTATACATCTATAGTCTCTGTCTTTTAGCATTTATCAGTGAAATATGTACAACTGAAGTAATATGTGTGGGACCTGGGATTTGTATTAAAACATTGGAAGGTGTTAGAAGGGTTAATGGAAAGTAGGAAATTAGCCATGAGAGATAGTTGATGATACTGGATATTGCGCACGTGTGAATTTAGAATAACTATTTTCACCACTTTGGTTTCCTATGAAATTTTCTATGATAAAAAGTTATTGTTATAAATTATGATTAGTCACAGCTGATTGTGAGTTCTTGAACCAGGAAACAAGATTCAGGCATCCAGAGGAATGGAATAGGTTAGAGATAATGACTCGGTTGTACCTTGAGTCTCATTCCTTCTTGTGAATCTCTCCAAGGTAGGACACAAAGTGACCACAAGCTGGTTCTGGGCAGACAGAGGAGAACAAGGTCAGCTCCTACTCTAGGCAGAGGCAGCCTCTAGGCAGACTTGCCCCCAGACAGCCTCGTCTCCCCAGGTCAAGCTTGGAGTCTGAGAAGCCATCTACGGAGTTAGGTTGCAGTTCCTAGCTTCAGACCTCCGGACTTTACTTCCTGGAGCATCTAGGTCTTCTGCATTATAGATTCCCTGTAGATAGCACCAAGTCCTGTAGTTGCCAAACCGGGCTACTCATTTAGTAGGAATTTTCTTAATAAAATTGTCTGCCACATATTAAACAGGCATTGGAGGCAGCATATAGGGAGCTGTGTGTTTGCCAGACAGCCTGGGTGAATCTCCCAGAGCCCGCCCACTGCTGGTTCACAGACCAGCACTTGGTATCCACTGCAGTCCACTCTGCCTGAGTCCCTTGTGAAGAGAGGACAGTCAGTGCGGTGACTTATGACACCTTTCCCTTCCTCAACGGCAGGTGTCAGTGCTGCAGAATCAGGGCCGAGAGATGATGCTGGTGACCAGCGGAGCTGTGGCCTTTGGCAAGCAGCGCCTGCGCCACGAGATCCTCCTGTCCCAGAGTGTGCGGCAGGCCCTGCACTCAGGGCAGAACCAGCTGAAGGAGATGGTGAGTGCTGTTTCTCCACACCTGTGATGGCTTCTCAGGTCTTCTCTCATTCCCAACCACACCATGTCTAATTTCGTGTTTTCCAGGCAATTCCAGTCTTAGAGGCCCGAGCCTGTGCAGCTGCCGGACAGAGTGGGCTGATGGCCTTGTATGAGGCCATGTTCACCCAGTACAGCATCTGCGCTGCGCAGGTGAGCTGCTGGGCTTCGCTACAGGGGGTGGACCTGGGAGGAGGGTTCCTGGAGAGCAGGGCTAGGATGCAGCCTCAGCTTCACCACCTGCTGTTTGGGAGATCTGAAGAGAGTCTTTAACATTTTTTTGCCTCAGTTTCCTCCTCTGAAAAGTGGGGATAATATCAGTGCCTGCCTCAAAGTGCTTTTGGAGAGGCCCAATGAGAAAATAATATGTAAAGCACTTACTATAGTGTCTGGAACAGAGTACACTCAGTAAGCGTTAGCTCTTGTCCTCATACTGGTAACTCTTGGACTATTACCAGTGCTAATACTTCTTTTAAAAAATTATTTATTTATTTGAAAGTCAGAGTTACACAGAGAGAAAAAGATAGGCAAAGAGAGAGGTCTTCCATCCACTGGTTAACTACCCAGTTGGCTTCAACGGCTGGAGCTGCACTGATCCAAAGCCAGGAGCCAAGAGCTTCCTCCAGGTCTCCCATGCTGGTGCAGGGGCCTAAGAACTTGGACCATCTTCCGCTGCCTTCCCAGGCCATGGCAGAGAGCTGGATCAGAAGTGGAGCAGCCAGGACTCAAACCGGCACCCATATGGGATGCCGGCACTGCAGGCAGCGGCTTTACCTGCTATGCCACAGTGCCAGCCCCACTGTGCTAATACTTCTAAAGACAGAAAGGTTAGATGTGTTTACTTTGCTGCTCCTTTGACTTCAAATATAGTTCCTTATTTATTTATTTATTTATTTATGTATTAGTAATTCTGTATAGAAGACCATTATAAGTGGTTTTTGAAACTCTCCAACAAGTTGTTTCCAAGATTAAAGGCTTAAAGTACAGCAACTTACTTTTTCTTCAAAGAAAAGAAACTAATTTGCATCTCAGCAGGTTGCTCTTGTCTAAATACAGATGTTCCCTCTTGGGGCCTCCTCCCCTTCCTCTGCACTCAGACCCTCAGCCCTTGCTTGGGAAGCTGCTGTGGCAACAGGTGTTTTCCCTGGGCCTTTCGCCTTGCTGCATCCTTGCATTTGTTCATTGTGTGATCGCTCACCAGCGTGACTGGGGTCTGTGTATTCACTTTGAACAGTCCTGTTTCCTACAGAACTAAACATTTCAGAAAAGAAGGTCATATTCTTATTTTCCCCGATACCATCGGCATTTTTAGTCTCCATTCCAGCAGCTGGTCCAGGGCCTGGTGTTTCAGACATACTCAAGAAAGTCATGTCACAGGAGCAAGTGACTTCTTTCCCTCAGCCATGTCACCACCTGTCTTCCTCGACTACATGTCATACATCATTAGGGCTGCTGCTTTACTGCTGGGTTCTTCTCAGCCCTGACCAGAACCCTCATTGTTCAACCTCACAGGGATTACGTGAGGTATTGTTGGCCCTCAGGACTTGCTGTCACTTTGTTTCTTGCTATCTTCCCCAAGTATCTTTCTGTTCTGCTAAACATTGTCCAACACTGATTCAAGCAGGAAAGCCGAGCGGCTTACCAGCTCCCTGCTCCACCCTGGAACTCCTGATGCTGATGCCCTCTTTGACCTAAGTGATATCCAGTCTCCTTTCAACTTGTGAACAAAACCTCCATGGACCTGGCAGCCTAATCCCTGATGGTCAAGACACGATATTTGTTAATTCCAGCAGTGATCTGCTTCAGACCCAAAACAGTGATAGCATAATCCTATTCTGTTTTTCCTAATGCAGATTTCCAAGAAGGGTAAGCCATCCATTCACTCACTCACCAGTTAATTGCCTACTATGGCCCAACCTCAAATAGTGCTCAAATATAGAGATATTTTGATAATTAATGAATAGTCACTAATTCTCTTTAATATCTTCTAAAGTTAGATGCATTGATTTTCTTTTTAGATTTATTTATTTGAAAGGCAGAGTTAGAGAAGGAGAGACAGAAGGAGAGAAAGAGAGGGAGGAGAGGAGAGAAAGAGGGAGGGGGGAGGAGAAAGAAGAGAAGAGCTATTTCATCTGCTATTTCACTCCTCAAATGGCCACAATAGCCAGGACTGGGCCAGGCCAAAGCCAGGAGCTTCTTCTGGTTCTCCCACATCAGTGCATAGGCCCAAGCACTTCGGCCATCCTACATTGTTCCATTGATTTCCCAGGCACATTAGCAGGGAGGTGGATTGGAAGTAGAGCAGCTGGGACTGGGGATGCCAGTGATACAGTGATACAGGCTGCAGCTTTAATCCACTGAACCACAGTGCTGGCCCCACATTAATTTTCTTTCTTTCTTTTTTTCTTTCTTTCTTTCTTTTCTTTTTTTTTTTTTTTTTTTTTTTTGACAGGCAGAGTGGACAGTGAGAGAGAGAGACAGAGAGAAAGGTCTTCCTTTGTCGTTGGTTAACCCTCCAATGGCTGCCACGGCTGGCGCGCTGTGGCCGGCTTACCACGCTGATCCAAAGGCAGGAGCCAGGTGCTTCTCCTGGTCTCCCATGGGGTGCAGGGCCCAAAGACTTGGGCCATCCTCCACTGCCTTCCCGGGCCACAGCAGAGAGCTGGCCTGGAAGAGGGGCAACCGGGACAGAATCTGGCGCCCCGACCAGGACTAGAACCCGGTGTGCTGGCGCCGCTAGGTAGAGGATTAGCCTATTGAGCTGCGGCGCCGGCCTCCCACATTAATTTTCTTAAATTTTGTAAATAGATGAGATTTGGTAGCTCTCTGAGGATTAAAGGCTTTTGCAAGGAGTGTTGAGCATCTTTAAAGAACTTTCCAGGTGATTTTAGCCTTTTTTATTTCTAAAAGGATTGAATAACCATCCAAAGATGTGTGTCTCATTCCAATCTGTGTGGAATCCCGGAAGCCTAAAGTTGAACTCTCCTCCCTTTAGCATCTTTGTATCCCGTTCCTCGGAAGTTCATCCTGTTCCTCCCTCCTGCATTTTCAACCTATTCGTTCTTTTTAGATTTTGGTGACCAATTTGGATTTCCACGATGAGCAGAAGCGCCGGAACCTCAATGGGACTCTTCACGAGCTCCTCCGAATGAACATCGTCCCCATTGTCAACACAAACGACGCTGTTGTCCCCCCGGCTGAGCCCAACAGCGATCTCCAGGGGGTAAATGTGGGTGAAGTATCCCTAAGGGTTTGAGCATGCTGGAGGCACTAACACCACGCTATGCTGCATGTACTAACACCGCTGGTTTGGCGTAAGCACGATGGAGAAATGGGGAGAGAAGCTGGCATGTAGGGCAGTGGCTGCATAAGCTCTTCTGAAAGTGGGGAGTGTCATGCGACGGGGTGAGGCGCCGTCCTGACTGAAGATGGAGCTACGAGCATGGCTTACATGTTTCAGTGGTAGCAAGCTGCATGTTTGGTAAAGGGGTTGCCAGTGGGCCTTGTGTTTTGCAGACAGAAGGGGTCTTGGGGAAGAGCTGTCATCCACATGTTCGGGGCCATTGGTTTTACCTGCTGGAGCCTTGCTGAGTGCTTCTGAGACTTTCTGTTTGGACTGCATAGCTCACTCACTCAGGGCTTTTTACTTGCATTCTAGGTTATTAGTGTTAAAGATAATGATAGCCTGGCTGCGCGTCTGGCCGTGGAAATGAAAACTGACCTCTTGATTGTTCTTTCAGATGTAGAAGGTACAAAGTAATGCCTTTTCCTTTTATCTACATGTGAGCACATGAGTTTCCCTCTTTGTCTGAGTCCTTCTGATCTTTTTTTTTTCACTGTGGGCCATTATTTTCTGAGCCATATGTTCTGACAAAGGGTTTTTATGACTCAAAGAGGGTGGGTGAGTGTGGGAGATGAAATTCAAATGCTGAAATGTTATTTCCAGGTGCTTTGAGTTTTGTTTTGTCTTTTTGAGATATAACTCACATACTATACAATTCACCTATTTAAGGTTTACAATTCAGTGGTTTTTAATATCTTCACACAGTTGTATGGCCATCACCATTATCAGTTGTAGGACATCTTTATCATCCTGACAAGAAACACCATGCTCACTAGCAGTCACACCACCCTTCTACCCAAACTCCCTAGCCATAGGCAATCCAGTCTGCTTCCTCTCCCTATGGTTTTACCCATTGTGGACATTTATGTGGTCCTTCCTGACTGACTTCTCCAATTTACAGCATAATATTTTTATAGCACATTATTGCATATGTCAATACTTCATTTTTTATTGCCAAATATTCTACTTTGTGGACATTTTTTGTTTGTCTGCTCATCAGTTGATGGACATTTGGGCTCTTATGAGTTATGTTGCTGTGAACATTCGTGTACAAGTTTGTGTAGGTATATTTTTTAATTCACCTAAGAGTAGAATTGCTAGGTCACATGGCAACTACATTTAAAAACCTTTTGAAGAACTGCTAGTGTGTTTTCCAAAGCAGCTGCACCGTTGAACATTCCACCAGCAGTGGATGAGGGTTCTGATGCGTCCATGTCCTTGTCAACACTTACTTGGTTGTTCGTTTTTTTGTTTTGTTGTTGTTGTTGTTGTTGTTGTTGTGTGTGTGTGTGTTTGACAGGCAGAGTGGACAGTGAGAGAGAGAGAGACAGAGAGAAAGGTCTTCCTTTTGCCGTTGGTTCACCCTCCAATGGCTGCCACGGCTGGCGCGCTGTGGCCGGCACACCGCGCTGATCCGAAGGCAGGAGCCAGGTGCTTCTCCTGGTCTCCCATGGGGTGCAGGGCCCAAGTACTTGGGCCATCCTCCACTGCCTTCCCGGGCCACAGCAGAGAGCTGGCCCGGAAGAGGGGCAAACGGGACAGAATCCGGCACCCCGACTGGGACTAGAACCCTGTGTGCCGGCGCCGCTAGGTGGAGGATTAGCCTATTGAGCCGCGGCGCTGGCCCGTTTTTTTGTTTTGTTTTGTTTTGTTTTTTAAGATTTATTTATTTATGTGAAAGACAGAGTTACAGAGAGGCAGAGGCAGAGGTAGTGAGAGGTCTTCCATCCATTGGTCCATTCCCTAGATGGCCACAATGGCCAGAGCTGAGCCAATCCAAAGCCAGGAGCCAGGAACTTCTCCTGGATCTCCCACACAAGTTCAGGGGCCCAAGGACTTGGGCCATCTTCCACTACTTTCCCAGGCCATAGCAGAGAGCTGGATCAGAAGTGGAGCAGCCAGGACTCAAACTGGCACCCATGTGGGATGCTGGCGTTGCAGATGGCAGCTTTACCCACTATGCCACAGTGTCAGCACCATCACACTTCCTTGTTGCTATCTGCCTTTTTAGCCAGCCTAAGGGAATATCTTTTGATTACTTTCAGTTTTTGTTTTTGTTTTTAAGATTTATTTCTTTGAAAGGCAGAGTTAAAGAAAGCGAGACAGAGAAGGGATCTTCCATCCATTGTTTTACTTCCCAGATGGCTGCAATGGCCGGAGCCTGGTCGCTCTGCAGCAGGAGCCAGGAGCTTCCTCCAGATCTCTCACATGGGTGGTAGGGGCTCAGGCACTTGGGCCATCTTTCCCAGGCACATTAGAAGGGAGCTGGATTGAAAACAGAGCAGCCAGGACTCAAACCAGTGCCCATATAGGATGCTGGCATTACCCACTATATCACAGTGTGGGACCCAGTTAAGATCTTATTTATTTGAGAGAGAGAGTTACAGACAGAGAGAGGGAGAGACTGAGAAATTTTTGTGAACATTTGGCACAATGGGTTAAGTTGCCACTGGGAATGCCTGCATCCCATTTTGAGTGCCTGGTTCAAGTCCTAGCCACTCTGCTTCCAATCCAGTTTCCTTTCAGTGCTCACCCTGGGAGGCAGCAGATGATGGCTCAAGTAGTTAGGTCCCTGTCATCCACAAAGGAGACCTGGGTGGAGTTCCAAGATCCTGGCTTCAGCCTGGCCCTGCCCTAGTTGTTCTAGGCATTTGGGTAGTGAACCAGCAGATGAAAGATTTCTCTTTGCCTTTCAAATAAAATGAAAATAAATTTAAAAATTTTTAAAGTTTTTGCCTCAAAATAGACTTACCTCTTAATTCCATTTTGCATGAACTTTTTTTTTTTTTTCCCTATTTTGAAAAGCAGTAAAAGAGAAGCAGAGATCTTCCATTTACTTAGTTCACTCCTCAAATGTTCACCAACAGCCAGGGCTGGGGCAGGCTGAGACCAGGAGCCAGGAACTCAGTGCAGATTCATAGGTCCCCGCGACCCAAGTGCTTGACCCATCACCAGCTGCCTCTCAGTGTGCACATTAACAGGAAGCTAGAATGCAAAGTGGAGCCGGGACTCGAACCCAGGGCCTCTGATATGGGACCTGGGTATCTTGAGCTGCATCTTCTTTTTTTTTCTTTCTTTCTTTTTTTTTTAAGATTTATTTTATTTGAAAGGCAGAGTTACAGAGAGGTAGAGGCAGAGAGAGTTTCATCCGCTGGTTCGCTCCCCAAATGACTGCAATGGCCAGAGCTGAGCCAATCCAAAGCCAGGAACCAGGAGCTTCCTCTGGGTCTCCCAAGCGGGTGCAGGGGCCCAAGTATTTGGGCCATCTTCCACTGCTTTCCCAGGCCATAGGAGAGAGCTGGATCAGAAATGGAGCTGCCAAGACTCGAACTGGCGCCCAGATGGGAGCTGGCACTGCAGGTGGTGGCTTTACCTGGTATGTCACAGCGCCGGCCCCTTGAGCTGTGTCTTAGCCACCACACCAAGTGCCTGGGCAGAAATGCTTTGAGGCACCTTCGTGTGTGACTGTGCTCCCTGCTGCTCCGCCTTCCCTCAGGTGCCAGTTTGACTCCCTGTACGCTCTTCCCATTCATGCTGTTCCCACTTCACTTTGGCCCATACAGTGTATAGTAGCCGCGTCCCTAAAAACCCAAGCTTCCAGCATCCCAAACGTCCCATTGTACATTTCTAGGAGGTCAGAAAAACCCTGCCCCATTCACGGCCCACACCCAAGGCAGGTTACTGAGGCAAGACTTGTTCTCCATTTTGCACTCAAGCAGTGTGAAGGGCAAAGGCTGCCTACTGGAGCCGAGGACAAATACTGATAAATCAAGTCTTCTGCCCATGTGAAGTGCAGAGATATCGAGCCTCCATGTCGGTGTCTTTACCCAGAAGACATCTGTGGTACTGTGTTTGTCCACTGTCCTCTGGAGTCTCAGCATCAGAATAGCTAAAAGGGGGGTAAATATGAACCACTTTGAAGAAGGCATTTTGGTTAATCAGCAGGTTTTTACTGAATTTTTGTGTGCAGATAATGTGTTAGGTGTTTGATAAGTGTCCATGTATTTTTTTTAAGATTTATTTATTTATTTATTTGAAAGAGTTATTCAAAGAGAGAAGGAAAGGCAGAGAGAGAGAAAGAGAGAGACAGAGAGGTCTTCCATCCACTGGTTCACTCCCCAGTTGGCCGCAACGGCCAGAGCTGCACCAATCTGAAGCCAGGAGCCAGAGCTTCCTCTGGGTCTCCCACGCCAGTGCAGGGGCCTAAGAACTGGGCCATCTTCTGCTGTTATCCCAGGCCATAGCAGAGAGCTGGATCGGAAGTGGAGCAGCCGGGACTTGAACCGGTGCCCGTATGGAATGCAGGCACTGCTGGCAGCGGCCTTACCCGCTACACGGTGGCCTTACCCACTACACCACAGCATCGGCCCCCTGTCCATGTATTCAATCTGTGAAGCTGTCCCACACAGTAAGTTGGTGAGCCCAGTATACAGATGAAGTGATGTTCCGTTAAGGCCAGATCGGTTACATGGGATACCATCCAAAGTCTCCTAGTAAGTACTTGCCAGAGAACAGTTTCTAGTCTACCACTGTTCAGGTGAGAAATGACAACCCCCCTTCCCCTCAGTACCGCCTGGCAAGGTGAAGGCTCTGAGTTGGCAAGGTCAATATCAAACGCAATGTGAACTAGACTCCAGTATGCCATTTATGTGCAGCTTCAGACATCAGCATTGGTCATTGCCAGGTTTGTTCTGCTACTGCTGATAGGCTCAGGTAGTTATCTATTAAATGTTGACTTTTAGAACAGTGTGAGAATTTTAAATGCGCTCCTGGTTGGGTTGAGATGCTGCTGTAAGGGGAAAAGAGGAATGGGCAGAACCCCGGAATGCTGAGAACCCCTGAACGTCTCTAGGGAAGGATTGGCTGTGTGAAACCAAAGCAGCCTCTGAATCAGCCTCTCTGAGCTGCCATCGCCAGCACTGTTTCCCGGGGAAGAACCCAGCCCTGCCCTCTGGCTCACAAGTGAGGTAGTGTGTGACAGAGAGAGGTTATTCTCCCCTCCCGCTGATTGCTGCCCGGGGTTTGCTCTGCTGTTCTCTATACTGCACACTGACTTCCTGCCTCCCCAGGAAGGTTATGTGTGTCACACGATTGTCATAGAGATTGGGAACAATGGCAGGGAGATACATCACTACACCAGGAAAGCAGTCACTCCAATTCAAAAACGTCACCGCCCCAGCTGTCCTTCAGCCAGGCCCCGGCCACGGGCAGTACCTCCCTGTCTGTCTCCCCTATGTCTTGATTTGACTCCACGTTTTCAGTCATCCCCCTCACTGCCCTCTTTTCCCTTCGAAGGCTCGTGCTCACTCTTGTTCATAGTGAGGTGGGGAGGACTTTTCCTCTTGGGTTGTATGCGTAGAACGTTTCATGTAGCTGCTTCATGTCATTCAGTCCTGCTCAGTTACAAAAGGCACAGGGGCTTTGCGGTGATAAATCCAGACTGATGGCCCCGAGTCAGCTCCCCTGCTGATTCAGCCTACGCTTCCCAGCCGCTCACTCATAAAACAGGGAGTATGAATTAGTGCCTGTTTCAGAGGTGCAGTGAGAGTTAATAAATACCTGTTTCACACTGCACCAAGTCCCAGTAAATAAATAATACATGGCTGCTGCACTGTTTCTGCCATAGCCACGTTTGTGTTTCAGTTCTGGCCTTGAGGCGCAGCTTCGTAAGTAGCAATGGCAGAGGTGAAGACAGCCTGCAATAGTCTCTGGGCAGGGCTCACCCATTTGTGGCAAGGATAGGCCATGGTCTGACGTTTTTTTTTTTTTTTTTTTTTTTTTGACAGGCAGAGTTAGAGAGAGAGACAGAGAGAAAGGTCTTCTTTGTGTTGGTTCACCCCCCAAATGGCAGCCACAGCCGGTGCGATGTACCCATCCAAAGCCAGGAGCCAAGTGCTTCTTCCTGGTCTCCCATACGGGTGCAGGGGCCCAAGCACTTGGGCCATCCTCCACTGCCTTCCAGGCCACAGCAGAGAGCTGGACTGGAAGAGGAATAACCAGGACAGAATCCGGCACCCCAACCGGGACTAGAACCTGGGGTACCGGTACCGCAGGCAGAGGATTAGCCTAGTGAGCTGCAGCACCGGCTGGGAATGCTCATTTTTTAAGCCAGGCTGTGGAAGTATGTGAAGTGAGTGCCCCTGAAGCTGGTTGTGAGTACGAGTCAACTCCACATATCCCTTGCTGTCTTCTCCAGTGAGATCAGGTGGTGGTATAGCAGGATTCACTCAGATGAACAGGGCACAGCGTGGTTAGCAGCTGCTGGGGAAGACCTTCCTTGGAGGGCATTCATTTCCATCAAGCTGTATGACTGACTCTTGTCTACTATTTAGGCCTCTTTGACAGCCCTCCGGGGTCAGATGATGCAAAGCTCATTGATATATTTTATCCTGGAGATCAGCAGTCTGTGACCTTTGGAACAAAGTCCAGAGTGGGAATGGGCGGCATGGAAGCCAAGGTAAGAACTGGGTGCCTTGACCACCAATAGCAGTTATAAAACCCAAATGGTATTTTACCCTTTTTACTTTTGTAATTGAGGGCTAGTGATTTGGACACGTACACACTTAGATCCATGTATCTAAATGCAAACTTAATGAGTATTTATGTAGTCAGTCTGCCTATGTATTTTTATTAATGCTGTGTGACAAGCATGTTTATTTTGTAAACTCCTCGAGAACGGGGCTATTTTTTCATAACTTATAAATCCTTTAGTATTACTGGCTCACACTTTTCTTGGTGAGTTTTTTTTTTAATTCTTTCTTCCCCATTAATTGTTCTCACAAGTTATATGCTCAAGATAAAACATGATTCATAGCAATGGCAGAGATGAGGACAAAAACTTTTTTTCTAAAAAAAGAATTCATTTATTTATTTGAAAGAGTACAGAGAGAAGTAGAGCCAGAGAGAGAGGTCTTCCAACTGCTGATTGACTCCTCAAATGACCGCAACAGCCAGAGCTGAGCTGATCCGAAGCCAGGAGCCAGGGGTCTCCCAAGCACTTGAGCCATTTTCTGCTGCTTTCCCAGGCCATAGCAGAGAGCTGGATCAGAAGAGGAGCACCCGGGACTAGAACCGGCATCTATATGGGATGCCGGTGCTGCAGGCTGGGACTTCAACCTGCTGTGCCACAGCGCTGGCCCCCCCTTGGACAAAAGCTTTTAAAAGTACTCAGGATCAGAGTCTGGTCAAACCCCAAGCGGCTCATGGAGCCGTTTCTATATTGAAGTACAGCAAGTCAAATGCAGAAGCTATGAATCCCATGCTAGAGAGTGTGTAAGAGAGAATGCAGTGACAAGAGGGGACCGGCAGGTTTGCCATAGGCAGCACACACCAGGCAGAGGCTGAGAAGGGTGCCCGGAGTGCCTGTGTGTTTTCAGGGCCTCCAAGCTGTTGGAAGCATCCTGCCTGTACTTGCTCCACATCAAATTGTGTTGTATATCTTTCTGAAAGTTTAAAGTGTGACTTGCTAGATCTGAATCTCACCTGTCCCCTTAGGTGAAGGCAGCCCTTTGGGCTTTACAAGGTGGCACTTCTGTCGTTATTGCCAATGGAACCCACCCAAAGGTGTCTGGGCACGTCATCACAGACATCGTGGAGGGAAAGAAAGTTGGCACCTTCTTTTCAGAGGTAAAGCCTGCAGGTAAGTAGTGCTTCATAAGATCCCAAAGCCTGGGATGGGAGCTAGTGACTCCCTGGCATAGATGGGACTGAAGACTGAGCTCTCACTCTGGGATTGTGGATCACAATGATGTGCTACTATTATGAAATCCATGTTGTTTTGAATACCACATGCAAAACTGGGTTTTGCTTTGTTTTTGTAAAATTCCATCTAACCTTCATAGTGAGGCCTCCTCTTTTCTCCAGAATCAGTAGCTTAAAGAATATTAGCATCTGAAGCAGGCATTTGGCCTATCTGGGTAAGACACCCACATCTCCTAGCAGAGTGTCTGGGTTTGATTCCTGGTTCTGGCTCCCAATTCCAGATTCCTGCTAAGGGGAACCCTGGAAAGCAGTAGGTGGTGGCTCAGGTAGTTGAGTCCCTGCCTCTGGTGGGAGACCTGGATTGAGTTCCCAGGTTTGGCCTAATGTTGGCTGTTGTAGTCATTTTGGGGAGTGAACCAGCAGATGGGAGATTCTCTCGCTCTTTTTTTTTTTTTTTTAAAGATTTTTTATTTATTTATTTGACAGGTAGAGTTACAGACAGTGAGAGACAGAGAGAAAGATCTTCCATCCGATGGTTCACCTCCCAAATGGCCGCAACGGCCAGAGCTACACCGATCCAAAGCCAGGAGCTAGGTTCCTCTTCCTGGTCTCCCATGCGGATGCAGGGGCCCAAGCACTTGGGCCATCCTCCACTGCTTTCCCAGGCCACAGCAGAAAGCTGGACCGGAAGAGGAGCAACCAGGACTAGAACCTGGTGCCCATATGGGATGCCAGCACCACAGGCGGAGGATTAACCTAGTGAGCCACGGCGCCGGCCTCTCTCTCTCTTTCTCTTTTTCTTTCTTAGAAAAAGAATATCAGCATTCACTTTCTCAGGAAATGTTTGGTATGCCTATGCTGGATGCCAGGTACTAATAAGCACTAGAACTGTGAAGATGCAAAAGATAAAGTATGTGTGCTCCCCAGTGTTCACAAAGAATAGCATTGCCCTATAATCTGCGTTCAGAAATGTGAGCACATTAGAAAGTATTAGCCAACATGGAACTGAAAAGCTCCTTGGAAGGTGGAAAGTACTGTTGGCTGTCCAAATCCACAGACCAACCAACAGAAGTTTGAAAATATTCAAAGGAACAATGCATCTGTACTAAATGTTTACAGATTCTTTTTCCTTTATTTTTTTATTTTTTTTTTAAGATTTTATTTATTTTAGAGGTAGAGTTACAGAGAAAGAGACGGAGAGACAGAAATGTCTCCCGCCTGCTGGTTCACTCCCCAAATAGCCACAATAGCCAGAGCTGGGCTGATCCAAAGCCAGGAACCAGGAGCTTCTTCCAGGTCTCCCACATGGGTACAGGGGCCCAAGCACTTGGGCCATCTTCTACTGCTTTCCCAGGCCATAGCAGAGAGTTGGGTTGGAAGTGGAGCAGCCTGGACACAAACCGATGCCCATAAAGTATGATTGACAGCTATCTACATAGCGTGCATGTTAAATTAGGTATTATAAGTTCTCTAGAGATGATTGAAAGTATACTGAGAGGATGTGTGTAGCTTGTATGCAAATGCTACACCACCTTATATAAAGAACGTGTGCATCTGTGGGTTTTGGTATCTGCAGGGGATCCTGAAACCAATCCCTTGCAGATACTACAGATACTCAGGAAGAGCTGTGTGTGGGCTACTCTAGAAATACAAGTACAGGCAAGTTCTTGTGTTTGTGCCTGAGTCAATCTGGCATATTCTTTTACCATTTTGTTGGTCAGAGTGATCCCTGTATCTGAGGCAAACATCCAGACACTAAGCTTTCCTGCTGTGCATGTAATGAGCCTGCGTGTGTGCTAGGATGGGGAGGACAAAGCTGACATGACCTGACGTTTATGCCTGCTCTCACAGGCCCTACCGTCGAGCAGCAAGGAGAAATGGCTCGATCTGGAGGAAGGATGTTGGCCACTTTGGAACCTGAGCAGGTAATCATCTTAGCTGATAGTTTATTATTTTCAGGGCAAGTCATACTGTGCGGTTTAATACAGCAGTCAAGCCTGCTGATTCTCCCTTTATTGGTAGTGTCCCACTGAGTTACCCAAATTGTAAGTCTGTTTCAAATATGCCATCTCTTTCTTCTTTTGGTTAATTTTATTTTCCCTTTTGTCTTTCATCATTATCACATTTGGATCAAAAGCATCATGAAACTGATGAAGTCAGGAAGGCTAACTAATCCTGCCACATACTGGGCATGGAAATATAAGAAATCTACTTATCCTTACGTGATCCAAACCATCTAACTCCCCCACGAGATGAGAGCAGGAGAGCCACAGTTGAAAGCCCTGGCCTGTCTATCAGCCCAGGCAGCAGACCAGTGAGGCTGGACATGGGGATGAGGTCAGGTAGAAGCCACTGGCTGACTTCCTCAGGGTTTTCTGTTAAGGATGGATTATTTATCTTTTATTTATTTATTTGACAGGCAGAGTTAGAGAGACAGAGAGAAAGGTCTTCCTTTTCCATTGGTTCACACCCCAAAAGGCCGCTACGGCCAGCGTACTGCGCTGATCTGAAGCCAGGAGCCAGGTGCTTCCTCCTGGTCTCCCATACGGGTGCAGGGCCCAAGGACGGGCCATCCTCCACTGCCTTCCGGGCCACAGCAGAGAGCTGGCCTGGAAGAGGACAGAATCCAGCACCCCGACCGGGACTAGAATCTGGGGTGCCGGTGCCGCAGGTGGAGTATTAGCCAAGTGAGCCGCGGCGCTGGCCTAAGGATGGATTTGAAAGTGGTGGATGTAGATTTCTTCTAGGAAAACTATGGCTTGAAAAGAAGAGACTTAAAATAACTGTAAGTAGGGAAAGGAAAGCAAAGGAAGCGCCTCACTTCTCTCATGCAAAGCCTCCTCTCCACTCCTTCAGTAATCACCACACCGATTTGCCACGTTTCCTAATCTGATGGGTAAGGACTGGTGTCCCTTCCTGCATCAAGGAATGAATTTCCCCCTTTGATTGCTTTGTCAAATCCAGAATTGACAATGATGCAAAACTAGACATAGAAACTTACCTGGGAAATAAATTAGCTAGTGAAATTAAATACATAAAGATGTGTGCACCGTGGTGATTTGAAGTGCTGGCCCTGTCTTCATGGATAAGTTACATAATTCATCATGCCCCTGCCCTAGCATTTGGCCATGGCTCACTAATTTTATCAGGAGTTGTTTAAAAAAAAAAAAAAAAAAGAAAAGAAATAAAATTAAGAAGAAATGAAGGGAGGTTGGCAGTGAGAGAAGAAGGAAAAAATAAGGAGAAGTGAATGATGGTGACCTTGGATTTAGGAGCCAGGCGGAGCCTGGCAGTCTGAGCAGAGTGGGTTTAAAGATTGGTGTGCATTCTTCTTGGACTAGCCTATCTGTTTTTCTTTTGAATGATTTGCCTCTCTTCTAGCGAGCAGAAATTATCCACCATCTGGCTGACCTGTTGACGGACCAGCGTGATGAGATCCTGTTGGCCAACAAAAAAGACATGGAGGAAGCAGAGGGTAAAGACAAGACCATTTAGATTGTATGTCATAGAGGGTTTCTGTTTTGATGTTTTTTTATGTGTTTTACTAATAACACTCATCTGCCTAATGACAGGAATGTTAGAGAAGGAATTTTATATTGCCATCATTTTTGTTGTGGGTAGGTGCTGGTCTGAAATGACTCCGTGTAGTAACCCCCTCCTCCTCCTCCCGAGGTGCCTTAGGACAGCTACCACAGGGGCTTTTCCTTCCCCTTGGGTCACGAGCTGTGACTTCTGTGGCTATTTCAGGAAAAAAAGAGAAAGCTGTTAAGAACCCCATTGCTGTAGACGTTCCGCCAACAGCAACTAACATTGATTGAGACCCTCCTTGCATGACCAGACGTCGTAGTAAGGGCTTTCCAGGCAGCATCTCATTCAATCTTCACAACACAGGAAGGGAGCTGCCATTTCCTGTCTCGGTTTCCCAGAGGACGCTGAGGCTCAGAGCAGTTGTCATTTGCCTGAATTCACTGGGCAGTGGTGGGCCTAGGATCCCGGCACAGAAGCATTGTACATACAGAAGAGCTGCAGGAATAGTTGTGGGCTGCCTCAGTTCACTGACCAGCATGCGGTCTCTGGGGAGTTGCACCAGGCGCCCCCCAGAAATGCTCATGGAGAGTGATTGAGAAGCTGAGCTCCCACTGCAGACAGCTGAATATGTGGAGTCTGTGAGGCCCTGGCTCTTTCTCTCTTGATTCTGTCTTTTCCACCACCTTCAAATATTGGAGTTGATCTTAATGGGGGTTTGAACTTCCTTTTGTCTTGAATAAATATGCCTTAACTTAAACTTGCAGGTTAGTGTATTCCCTTCAGAGGAACCTTCCAGGAATCTTCACCATTACTGTCATTCCTGAAAATATTTTTTAAATGTTTATTTGTTTTCATCTGCTTGAAAGGCAGAGAGACAGAGATAGAGGCAGAGACAGAGAGAGGGAGAGATCTTCCCTCCACTGGTTCGCTCCCCAAATGCCTGCATTGGCCAGGGCTGGGCCTTGCTAAAGCCAGGAGCCCAGAACTTCATCCAGGTCTCCTACATGGGTGGCAGGAGTCCAGGCACACGGGCCATCAACCACTGCTTTCCCAGGCGCATGAGCAGGAACCGGGGAAGTGCTAGGAGGCCTGCAGCCCGCATCCAATACGGAAGGCAGATGTGGAGCTCTTTGCACCACAGTGTCCGCCTCTAAAGCATTTTGAACCATTATTTTAGAACTTCCTCCAGATTACACCTAGTCCTCGTAATATTGGGAAATCACAAAATGGGTTTTTAGAACTTGATAGCATCAATTATTTCATTTAAAGCAAAATAATTAAGACCCACAGAGGCTAAAGCTGTTGCTCGAGGCCGCCCAGCTTGTTGATGGCAGAGCTTGGCTTCTGGTTTAGGTTGTAGCTCCCTGAAAAAAGAACACAAAGGCCTGCCGGTGCTTGGACGTGGTAACCCTAATTCAGGGAATTTATTCTAAGAAAACATTTCAAGAGCAGAATACAGCTGTGTTTGTAAAGATAGATTCTTGGGCGAAATTATTTATTGCACTGAAAAACAAGGAGCAGCCTAGTGTCTGATAAGGTGGGTGTGGTTAGGTACAGCAAACCTGTATCAACCCAGTGGAATGTTTAATAGCAATTAAAAATGATTTTTGCAACATGGAAAACATACTTGTAGTGAAGTAAAGGACTAGAATATAGCATTTAATGTGCACTATAATTAAAACCTGGTTTTTGGTACATGGGGAAAAGTATAGGAAATGAATTCATATAATTTGTAGAATGATGGCTCAATTTTTTTTTTTTTTTTGACAGGCAGAGTGGACAGTGAGAGAGAGAGACAGAGAGAAAGGTCTTCCTTTGCCGTTGGTTCACCCTCCAATGGCCGCTGCGGCCAGCGCACCGCGCTGATCCGATGGCAGGAGCCAGGATCCAGGAGCCAGGTGCTTTTCCTGGTCTCCCATGGGGTGCAGGGCCCAAGCACCTGGGCCATCCTCCACTGCACTCCCTGGCCACAGCAGAGAGCTGGCCTGGAAGAGGGGCAACCGGGACAGAATCCGGCGCCCCGACCGGGACTAGAACCTGGTGTGCCGGCGCCGCTAGGCGGAGGATTAGCCTAGTGAGCCGCGGCGCCGGCCGGCTCAATTATTTTTTAAGATTTTATTTATTTGAGAGGCCGAGTTACAGACAGAGGGATAAACAGAGAAAGGGCTTCCATCTGCTGGTTCACTCCCCAAATGGCTGCAATGGCTGGAGCTGAGCAGATCCAGGTCTCCCACACAGGTGCAGGGGCCCAAGTACTTCGACCATCCTCTACTACTTTCCCAGGCCACAACAGAGCAGAAGAGGAGCAGCCGGGACTAGAACTGGCGTCCATATGGGATGCTGGTACCTCAGGCAGAGGATTAACTGCTGTGCCACAGCACTGGCCCCCTTGAATTTTTTTTTTAAATATTTATTTATTTACTTGAAAGAGTTACACAGAGAGAGAGGAGAGGCAGAGAGAGAGAGGGAGAGGGACAGAAAGAAAGAGAGGTCTTCTATCCGTTGGTTCACTCCCCAGTTGGCTGCAACAGCTAGAGCTGTGCCAATCCGAAGCCAGGAGCCAGGAGCTTCTTCTGGGTCTCCCACATGGGTGCAGGGGCCCAAGGACTTGGGCCATATTGTACTGCTTTCCCAGGCCATAGCAGAGATCTGGGTCAGAAGTGGAGCAGCCGGGTCTTGAATTGGCGCCCATATGGGATGCTGGCGCTTCAGGCCAGGGCGTTAGCTTACTACTGCACCACAGCTCTGCCCCTGATTTTGTTTTTCTTTATGTAATATCAGTTTCTCCCCTCCAAAGTAGGTATATTTTTATTATTTTATATTGCTAAATATGACTATTAAAGGGAAAAATTTTTATAATCTCAATATTACCACCATAATAATTTATGATATGTGATTCCAAATGGTTTTCCTGGGTATATATGCATGCATTTGTATGACTGTATTGGAATGTATAAACATAATATGTCATTTATTTGAGAATATCATACTGGGTGTTCTGATATTTAAAGAAAATCCAGTACATGAACTTACCATACTTCTGTTTAACATTTTTTCAGAAGACATCTTTTATTGCTTATGAGTATAAAAATAATTCAGCCATTATAAGAAGTTAAAATAATACAGAAATACACAGAGGCCCTGTTTGTTTGTTTGTTTGTTTTTTAAGATTTATTTATTTATTTATTTGAAAGAGTTACACAGAGAGAAAGAGAGGCAGAGAAAGAGAGAGAAGTCTTCCATCTGCTGGTTCACTCCCCATTTGGCCACAATGGCCGGAGCTGTGCTGATCCAAAGCCAGGAGCCAGGAGCTTCCTCCAGGTCTCCCAGATGGGTGGGTGCAGGGGCCTAAGGACCTGGGCCATCCTCCACTGCTTTCCCAGGCCATAGCAGAGAGCTGGATCAGAAGTGGAACAGCCGGTACTCGAACTGGCGCCCATATGGGATGCCAGCACTGCAACTGACGGCTTTACCCACTACACCACAGTGCTGCCTCCTTCCCCCCCGCCATGTTATTTTGATGCCAGGCATCTTCCTATGCACACGTATCTGTGGGCATTCAATAACTAGGATGTCCTACATTGTGTCTTATGGTTTGCTTTTTCACAAAATCTATCCTAGATAGCTTTCCATATCATTAAATGTAGACACTATATGTGATTTGTAGTAACAGCAGAGGACCCTCGTGTCTCTGTTTGTAGGTAGCATCTAGCTTCTCGCTGTAATAAAATGCTGCAGTAGGGATCCTCGGCACAAGCAGGCTCCCTCATGCAAATGGTCAGCTTGTGGCCCTGAGCTGGCACAGACAGCACAGTGGACATACCTTGCTGTGGTGGTGTACCCTGCCATACCGCCCCAAGGAAAGCTCTAGAAATAGCCTGACAGTGTCTCACTGAGGCCCCTCAGGTCTGCGTCTCTCTCTAATGCAGTGTCCTAATTAGTAAAACATCAAGAGATAGCCACCCCCAGGTCTGCTGCTTTACCATGTTTTCAACCCTCCCAGGGAGACTCGCAGCCCCACTGCTGAAGCGGCTAAGCCTCTCCACGTCAAAGCTCAACAGCCTGGCCATCGGGCTGCGGCAGATCGCAGCCTCCTCCCAGGACAGTGTGGGCCGCGTTTTGCGCCGGACCCGAGTTGCCAAAAACCTGGAGCTAGAGCAAGTGACTGTCCCCATTGGAGTTCTCCTGGTGATCTTCGAATCTCGCCCCGACTGTCTGCCCCAGGTGTGTATGACAAAGGGCCTGCCGTCAGTGGGGACTAGAGCCAGGGAGGGAGGGAGAAAGAGGAGGTAATTTGTGTTCTTGATTCTTCCAGGAATCTAAAGTAGGTCTTCAGATATTCATTGAAGAAACTGAACCTTACAGAAGTCAATGTTCCTGTCATGCTTGTCAGGGTGGGGCTGGGACAGCAGCCCAGATCTACCTGCCGTGCCGCAGTGCAGATTTCCACATACCTGAGCTCATGGTGCACTTTGCTGTCTGACCTCCAGCCCCTGCTGGCTAGTGCAGAGCCATTCCTCTATTAGCTGGCTTTGCCCATGTCTGAAAGACCCCTTTGTTGTCAGTGTCCCTGGTGGCTTCCTGCACACAGGTCTGTAAGGAAAAAGAGCTTTCAGCAGTCAGTGGAAACCATGCTGCAGCCCTTGTTAAGGAGGGCAGCATGTCCCGGGCTCATGTCCCGGGCTCATGTTGAGAAACCAGGCTGGGAGGTGACATTAGCAGGTGGTCTCACTTGGTTGCCCTAAACTCTCCCAGAATCTGGGACCATTTCCCCAGGGACTGTCCAGGAAGGTATCAGCTCTTCACTAGCCCCAAAGTCTAAAAGGGATTATACATTGTGTGTGTGTGTGTGTGTGTTTATAGTATTTGTTTATTTGAAAGGCACAGAGAGAGGAGGGAGAGCTCCTGACCCCTAGTTTACCCCCTCAAATACTCATAATAGTTGGGGTTGGGTAGGACCAAAACCAGGAGCTGGAAAGTCAATCCACATCTCCCATGTGGATAGTAGGAACCCAGTCACTTGAACCATCACCTGCTGCCCCCAGGGTCAACTTTAGCAGGAAGTTGGAGTAAGGAGCCAGAGCCAGGTATCAAACCCAGGACTGTGGTATAAGATGCAGGCATCTGATGTCGAGGCTAAATGCTTACCTCCAGAAATTCTACTTTGAAAGAAAACACTGACTCCTCTTTGCATAAGGCATGGGTAACTATGGGAGTCTGGAATACTCTGGGGAGTGTACTGCCTGCCATAACCTAAAAGCAGCTTTTCACCAAGGGATTCCCTCCCATGGGGTTCTGTGTTTACCTGGCCGATGCTGGCACACCACCCTTTCTGGGCACATACCTGTCTAGCTAGAAGCCCCTGGGGTGACTGTAGAACTCCCCTCTGCTAGGAGAAGTGGGTCCCGAGTCTCTGTGGGCCATGCCCATGAAGTTTTCTCTGTTATACTCTGCCATGTCGGCTGCAATGCCTCTCAGGGAGAAGGTCTGCTCTTCAGCTAGCTACAGCTGAAGCTCCTCGCCTGATTCTTAATCCGGGATGGTTTCTCAGAACCCATGAATCCTAACACTTGTATGCAGAATTCTGTGCACTTGTTCATTTGTCTAGAGAAAGTTTACTTGATTTTTTTCTAAGGGGTCCGTGAGCAACAAAAAAAAACAAAAAAAGGTCTGAGAACCCCTAACCTGGAGATTAACATGGTCAGCAGCAAAGCTTTTTAGTAGAATTTCTTTCCCTGTGGCACAAAAGCAGGAAGATACTCTTTCATCCTAAGAGCATTCGGAAAACTAAGCCTCATAGGGTGGGCATTGTGGTGTAGCAAGTGAAGCGATGGCTTGGGACACCCAAGTGTCCCATTTTAGAGTGCCAGTTTAAGTCCCAGCTACTCAGTGGAGTCTCTGGCTCCTGGGTTATTTATAAAATATGACCCATCTTATTTTCTGCTTGCTGTAAATTAGCAGACATGCTATAGTAAAAACAAATGAAGAAAGAAAAAAATGAAACATGTTTATTTCCTAAGATCCCGGTGGTTCTGTTCTGGAATCAGGCCACCCCGAAAGTGTGTGACCTTGGGGAGTTCCCAGCCTCTCTCAGCTTCAGTGCCTTCATCCACAGAGTAGAGGATGAAATGGGTCTTAATTCATCCAGGCGTTTGAAGATGAAAAGCAAGGACTGTATAAATGCTAACATGACTGTCACTATTGTTTTCTCCCTTTGATCCACTGCTGTCTCATTTGATCTGCAGGTGGCAGCCTTGGCTATTGCAAGTGGTAATGGCTTGTTACTCAAAGGAGGGAAGGAAGCCTCACACAGCAACCGGATTCTTCACCTCCTCACCCAGGAAGCCCTTTCCATCCATGGAGTCAAGGAGGCCGTCCAGCTGGTAGGTTCCTGAGGATGAGCCAGGTCAGGCCCAGATGGGCCAGGTCAGGTCTTGAGGAGTTGGAAGCAAAGCTTAGGCCCCCTGTGGCCACACTGCGTCAGCAGGAAGGCACGACCGGAGTGGTGGCAGATCCTTTGTGCTGCAGATGTTCAGCCATTCTGCAGAGCCAGGTGGGTGTCCAGGCCATGCCCTGGCACTGCCAGCTCTCAAGAGCATCAGGGAGACCTGCCTGCTTTGGGTCACAGGGCAGCAGCAGAAGCAGAGCTACAGTGTGAGGCCTGGGTTCTTCTCAAGGGCAGAACGATTAAGCATGACTAGGGTGAAATGAGCTTTCTGAACATTTGTCCTAAACCGTCATTCAGGGTGTTAAGTATGAGACCGTGCTATTCTCTCTATTGTCACTGTTCTGTCCATTGTCTCATTCTCAGCCATGAAATGAAGTTTGACAGGAACAGCTATGGTTTATTGAGTAACTTCTATGTCCAAGGTCTCTTTCACTTATTATCTCATTTTCTGTATCAGAAAAAAAATAAAGGTAAAATAATTCATTTAGTCAAATAGTGTGTTGAGATATGCACCTAAGACAGTCCAGACCCTTACCTTGAGGCCCACTTGTTCCAGCATTCCAGAATCCATTGGCTCCTGGCAGAATGTTTGCAAACCTGCTGCATTATGTGCTCAAAGATGAAAACCTGGGGTTTTTTTTATTTTTAATATTTTACTTATTTATTGGAGAAGTAGATTTACAGACTGAGGAAGAGACAGAAAGATCTTCAGTCTACTGGTTCACTCCCCAAATGGCCATAGCAGCTGGAGCTGGGCAGACCCAGGCCTGGGAGTTAGGAGCTTCTTCTGGATCTCCCACGCAGGTGCAGGGACCCAAGCACTTGGGCCATCTTCCATTGCTATCCCAGGTCATAACAGAGAGCTGGATCAGAAGTGGAGCAGCTGGGACTCGAACCAGCACCAATATGGAATGCCAGTGCTACAGGCAGTGGCTTTACCTGCTATGCCACAGCACCAGCCTCTGGGTTTTTCTTAAGGCAGTGTAGTGAGCACAGACTTAGGAATTCAAATCTCAGCTCTACCATATTGTAGCTTTGACAGCCATCCTCTCTTTCTTCCCACTGATGTACAGCACACAGGGTGTGTACAGATCCTGTGTGCACAGCTCTGTGGCTTTGCCCATGTACACACACATTTATACACCAGCCCTATTAGGATGCAGAATATTCTCAATATCCCAGAAGGCTCACTTGTGCCCTTTTCCATCAGTATGTCTCACCCCACCACAAGGGAAATAGCTTCGTAACTTCTGTCACTGTCAGTCACTTTTGCCTGTTCTTGACCTTCATATAAATGGGACCACTTTTAGCTATTTGTCTTTTGTTCACCATTATCTCCATGACATTTGGCCACCAGTTGCACCCAGCAGCCGCTGTCTGCTTTGTGTCACCTTGTGTCGTTACACTGACATAGCAGCTACTGCAGTTCATCCTTCCACCAAGGAACATTCCGCTTGTTTCCGGTTTGGGGCTGTGTGGAATGTGGTTGCCACAAACATTCTGGGACATGGACATTTCTATTATAAAAATAAGTAGGGGCCAGCGCTGTTATGTAACATATAAAGCTACCACGTGCAGTGCCAGCATCCCCATATAGGTGCTGATTTGAGATCTGGCTGCTCCACTTCCGATCCAGCTCCCTGCTATGGCCTGGGAAAGCAGTAGAGGATGGCCTAAATCCTTGGGCCCCTGCACCCACGTGGGAGACCCGGAAGAAGCTCCTGGCTCCTGGCTTCAGATTGGTGCAGCTCTGGCCATTGTGGCCATCTGGGGACATCTGAGGCCTCCCTCCCTCCAGCTCTGGCCATTGTGGCCATCTGGGGACATCTGAGGCCTCCCTCCCCCCCCCCCGCCTTTGCTTCTGTAATTCTACCTTTCAAATAGGTAAATAAATCTTAAAAAAATAACAAAATCATAAGGAGGACAAGTAAATATCAAGACAAGGGGCCGGCGCTATGGCGTAGTAGGTTAAGCCTCTGCCTGCAGCACCAGCATCCCATATGGCACTGGTTCCAGTCCCAGCTGCTCCACCTCCAATCTTGATGGCCTGGGAAAGCAGTAGAAGATGGCCCAAGTGCAAAAAAAAAAAGTCAAGAGAACAAACTACTCCTAATTTCAGTGTCCCACTAACAAGCCCTTTGGTCAGTTCAGTTGTATCCCAGGGCAGTGGCTGCCAGCGGAAGTCATGGACTGGGGCCCGCCAGTCACAAGCAGCATTTCCTTACGCTTCTGAACCCCACGGACACCTGCCTTCCGTGATCCCCGTGTGTGCTCAGTAGTGCCCTCACCTTCCTCAGATAGCATCGCATAGCTCCTTGGATTTGTAAAATGATCTGCCCTGTGTTATGGCTACGAGGATGTCCAGCGTGCCTCCCCTGTTCTCTGAGCTCCTTGAAGGCGGGTACTGTGCTCTGCCTGGCACCAAGTGTGTGGTACCTGGTGAGCGTTGGCTGGGTGACCTGATTCCCGTGACCAGTCACTTCATCTTGTTTTTGGAGTTAGCTTCACCGTGCCCAGTTTCCTAATTGGGCTGTGCAGCCATTTTCCTGCAGAGGGGGAGGGACTGCCTTACTTTGTATGCAGAGAGATGCCATCTGCACCTCTTCATTCCCCCCACCCGGCCTGCAGGTGAACACGAGAGAAGAAGTGGAAGACCTGTGCCGCCTGGACAAAATGATAGACCTGATCATTCCACGCGGCTCTTCCCAGCTGGTCAGAGACATCCAGAAGGCTGCCAAAGGCATTCCGGTGATGGGGCACAGTGAAGGGATCTGCCACATGTATGTGGACGCAGAGGCCAGTGTGGATAAGGTCACCAGACTGGGTGAGCTGTCTGGCGAGGGTGAAGGATTCCTAAAGCCCCTGTGGCCCGGGATCCTGCAGGAGAAGTAAGTCTCTGCTCTTCTTCTCTCAGTGAGGGACTCTAAGTGTGAATACCCAGCTGCCTGCAACGCCCTGGAGACCCTGCTCATCCACCGCGACCTGCTGCGGACTCCACTGTTTGACCAGATCATTGATATGCTGAGAGTGGAGCAGGTAAGGCACGTCCAGCCCTGCGCGAGGACACCAGGAGCCGCTGCCGCTCCCTTTAAGACAACGTAGGAAACAAGGTTTCTGTGCATCTGCTGTGTACCAGGTGCTGTGCCTAGTCCAGAGGTAAGGAAAGCATAACTTCCCCTGCCCTCTGACGGCACATGGTACACAGAGCTTTCTCACGGAGTGGAGTGTGGAGTACACACACACAGGCCTCAGAGGGAACACGGAGCACGTGGCAGCGTGCTGAGTGGACTGTTGCTTGCAACCTTCTATTCAGGCCACAAAGTTGAAAGCTTATGTTCCCAAACACACATTTGTTTTAGATTTTATTTGAATAATTTGTGCAGAAATGTTTTCAACCCAAAATATATATGCATTCACGCCCCCTCAATAAAAAACCTTTATTTACCAATATTCATGTACTTAATACAGTGATATTGGGGAGTCAATTTGCATAGAATCTTCTTTGGATTGTGTTCTTACCATGTCATTAATGTTGCAAACAGCCCACAATTGCTATGTTTCAAATATAAATTTATGCCCCATCCATCCTAAATTCATGACTGCAAGAAAATAGATGTTCTGAGACAAAAGTGAACAGTCTGTTCAACTTTCTGCACAGATGCATTTTAAGCTTCAGCATCTGGTGTCATGGCACCCTTTCAGTATAAACTCGCACAACAGTAGGTCAGGTACCCGCTGGCCCTGGTTGCTTTGACCCTAAGCATGGAAGGCTCCAGTCAGCTTGTACATCTGGCATGATCCCAGTGAGAGCCTGGAAGAATCGTGCTGAAAAATAAAAATGAGGGGCTGGCTTTGTGGCATGGTGGCTCAAGCTTGCACACTGGCATTCCTTATCGGAGCGCTGATACAATTCCCAGCTGCTCTGCTTCCAATCCAGCTTCCTGCTAATGTGTCCAGGAAGGCAGCAGAAGATGGCCCAACTGCTTGGGCCCCTGCCACCCACTTGGGAGACCAGGGTGGAGTTCTTGACCCAGCCCTGGCTATTGTGGCCATTTGGGGAGTGAACCAGTGGATGGAAAATCTCTGTCTCACTCTGCCTTTCAAATCAGTCAATCAATCAGGAAGCAAGGAAGGAAGGGTAAGGAGTTGGAGGACATGAACATTTGTGTCCAGGGCCTGACTGCACATCTGTGACCTATTTGCTTAGTTACCTGTGTATGTGTTCTCCACACTGAACTGGACTAGACGAGCAGAGCTCTCCTTAGCTGGACTGAACCCTCATCCTGATTGAATGAGCCTACAGTATCCTCAGTCATCCAGATGAGGATTGCTGTGCAGTTCCTCAGAGCACGATGAGTCCATGTGTACCTCCTGTAGCTCCTTTGTGTGGCAGTGAAAAGACCCAGCGGGGGACTTGCACAGGGATGGGGTTCCAGTTCCTGAGGAACATGGTTGCACCCCAGTCCTGGAGGCAGTGGAGTACCTACTAGGAAACCAGGACAGAACCGCTGCAGCAATGAGGGTGAGATAGGCACCACTCATTGTAACTTGAGCCAAAGCAAGAACTTGGCCTTAAAGAACCAACGTGTGAACGAGGCCTGAGTGGGAGCTGACTTGTGACTGGGATTCTCAGGGGCCAGCCCCAGGATCCTAACCTTGCTCCTTCGAGGAGCGGGATTGGTTCTGTGAGAGTTGGGAGCTGAGGGGAACTTAGTAATGGGGCCAGACAGGTAGTAACCACAGTTTGAGGGTCTCAAAAACCTCACCACACACTGCTTACCTCTGAAGCAGACCTAAGACTTCTCTGGGGCGCAGGGAGTGAAAACATATCCGTGGCACTTCCTTCTTTCCATATGTGTCCCGTGCCTGTGTCAACCTGCATGGGTTGGAACATTTATTGTCAGGCGGTCATGTTAGTAAAATACCAGAAGTCAAGGGCTTATGTCTGGGCCAAAAAATGCCTGGCACATGGTGCCAGCGCTGTGGCATAGCAGGTAAAGCTGCTGCCTGAGATGCCAGCATCCCATAGGGGCACCTGTTCAAGTCCTGGCTGCTCCACTTCCAATCCAGCTCCCTGCTAATATGCCTGGGAAAGCAGTAGAAGATGGCCCAAATGCTTGGGCCCCTGCACCCACATGGGAGACCTGGAAGAAGTGCCTGGCTACTGGCTTCAGATCGTCCCAACTCCAGCCATTGTGGCCATTTGGGGAGTGAACCAGTGAATGGAAGACCTCTCTTTCTCTCTGCCTCTGCATCTTGGTAACTCTGCTTTTCAAATAAATAAATAAAACTTTAAAAAAAAAGCCACACAGCAGACATGGTGTCAGGAAACTGGGAGGAGCCCTGGATAGCCTTCCTCTTAAAAAAAAATGCCTGGCACATTGATGTAGTCAAAGGCTTCCCACTTCAATCCCTGCTCCAGCTTTCTCAAGGGCACATGGCTGGTGAGTGGCCAGATTCCTTTCCCATAAACGAGCAGCATGGAGGGCAGGGAGGCAGGGGCCGGTTCCCTTCTGGCCACATGAGCCTCCCTGGGCTGTGGTTTCTCAGGCTGATGCCAGACTGTGCAGGCTCGTACCGGGTCGTGCAGGCTCATCTCACTGGTCCCTGAGCTTGTTCATTTCTCTTGTTTTCATGTGGACTTCCTCCATTCAGGTGAAAATTCACGCAGGCCCCAAGTTTGCATCCTATCTGACCTTCAGCCCCTCGGAAGTCAAGTCACTCCGAACTGAGTATGGGGACCTGGAATTGTGCATTGAAGTGGTAGACAGCGTCCAGGAAGCCATTGACCACATCCACAAGTACGGCAGCTCCCACACGGATGTCATCGTCACAGAAAACGGTCAGTGTGCAGGTGCCTCTAGCATATGGTGTCTGCTCTCTCTGCTCTGATCTCCAGGTGGTTCCCAGGCCCCCAGGCCTGCAGGAAAACTGACACTCAGGCCTAGCATCACCTTCATCGGCTGCTTGGCCGAGTGGCTGTTAGCTCACTACGTTGTCACAGGAGGCGGCAGGACAGGGTGACCAGCTCCACTTGCAAGATGACTTAGCGGCCGGCGCCGCGGCTCACTAGGCTAATCCTCCGCCTTGTGGCACCGGCACACCGGGTTCTAGTCCTGGTCGGGGCGCCGGATTCTGTCCCGGTTGCCCCTCTTCCAGGCCAGCTCTCTGCTGTGGCCCAGGAGTGCAGTGGAGGATGGCCCAAGTACTTGGGCCCTGCACCCCATGGGAGACCAGGAGAACCACCTGGCTCCTGCCTTCGGATCAGCGCGGTGCGCCGGCCGCAGCGCACCGGCCGCAGTGGCCATTGGAGGGTGAACCAACGGCAAAGGAAGACCTTTCTCTCTGTCTCGCTCTCTCTCACTGTCCAATCTGCCTGTCAAAAAAAAAAAAAAAAGATGACTTAGCCTGTGTCACAGGCATTGTCAGCCATGCAGGAACCGTACTGAGCAGTTGAAGTAAACCTGTTTTACCACCGAGGAAACCATGGCCCAGGGGTTAAGGGCAGAACCAGTTCTGCACATTTATTCGTTTGCTCCCCAAAGAGTGTACTGGGAGACACTCCTTAGTGTCAGGCCCCCGAGGCCCAGTGCTGAGGGAAGTATGCCCTACTTGGTGGATTTAGCCTCCATTTGTTGGGGAATCACAACAGCCAGGGGGAACTGAACGCTCACTGTGCACGAGGACGCATGCTGCACAGGTGCTAGCTCATTTCGTCTTAATCCTGTGAGCCAGGTTTAAGTCATCAGGCCCTGTTCACGCAGGTGCAGAGGTTCAGGCAGCTCGTCACGCAGCTAGTGGGTGTGGGGTTGGAGTTGCAGCTCGGGCCTGGGCAGTCTGGCCCCAGAGCCTGTAAAACAGGAGTGCAGGTGGCTCCCCCAGCACTGGGGCACACCCTGCCTGGGAGAGCCCCATGCCCAGTCTTTCTGATGGACCCAGTTAGCCTTTGTCCTCTTCCTATCTTTCACCAACCTTTGTGCTTAATCTGTGAGGGGAGCTTGTGGGAGGCTCCAGAGGGGTCCAGACCTTGCCCAGCTCTGTCACCGTTGAGTGACTGGAGGCAGGGGTGTTCTCCAGGGGTCATCCTAACCCAGTTTCTCTTTCACCCTGCAGAGAAAACAGCAGAGTTCTTCCTCCAGCACGTAGATAGTGCCTGTGTGTTCTGGAACGCCAGTACCCGTTTCTCCGATGGCTACCGCTTTGGACTAGGTAAGAACGGCTGGTCAGGGGAGAAGGGACTCCCTTGTGAACCCCTGTGTGGTCCAGGGGGCATAGTGAGGTAGAGGAGACCCTCCTTTTTACCCTCACATGCTTGGTCAAGATAAGTGGAGGTCATCTGAGCTACCTACCATGAGTCGGCTGAAGTCCTGTGCTTTGGGTGTTCACGAGGCAGTTGTTTTGCATGCATTTCCTTGGAGGAGACTGAGATGCAGACAAGGAAGTAACTTGCTGAAGTCACACAGCTGCCTTTCAGACCAGGACTCATGCACCTCGGGTGCCAGGGTTGCTCCCACTGCGGTATGGGCAGACACACGGTGTAACAGGCACACTTGCCCAGGTCCCCAAGAGCACTGCTTCTGCAGACTTAGTCCTTCAGAGCCACAGCCAGGTGGCCTCAGGTTCAGAACTCTCCATGAGAGAGGACAGGAAGTCCTGAGTACCAGCATGGGAGCCGGCGTTGTGGTGTAGGGGGTAAAGCCACTGCCTTCAATGCTGACATCCCATACAGGTGCCAGTTCGAGTCCTGGCTGCTCTTCTTCCAACCCAGCTCCCTGCTAATGGCCTGGGAAAAGCAGCAGAAGATAGCTGTAGCGCTTGGCCCCTGATATCCACGTGTAAGAACCTGGAAGGAGAGAGAGAGACTCTTCCATCCACAAATCCCCAGAGCAGCCAGAAGCTAGTCCACATGGGAACTCCAGCACGTTCTCCCACGTGGGTGGCAGGGACCCGGTCCCCTGAGCCATCATCTCCTGCCTCCCTGGATGCGTTCGCAGGAAGCTGGATGAAAACTGGAACAGCTGGACTCAGACAGTGACTTCAGTATGGGCTGCAGGCGTCTGAGCGGCAGCTCAGCCGGCTGTGCCGGAACATCTACCCCACAGCATACTTCATGTGCTGAGGTGCCATTGTGCAAGTGCAAATCTAGGATGGAAGAGGAGCAAAGCCCAAACCATAGCTGAGTTAGATTTCTGGGAAATGCGTTAATGACAGCAACAGATGCGTATTTACTAGGTTTTTGGTGCCATGCTAAGTGCATTACATGCATCATCTCACTTAGTTCTATAATATGGATTCTATGATTGTCCTCATTTTCCAGATTGGAGGGGAAAAAATGAAGCATGAGAGGTTAGATTAGGTATTGTGTCCAAAATCCCATTGTTTCTTCGCTCTTGAGCCAGAATGTGGACCTGGTAGCCTCACAGCCCTTGCCAGCCACCATGTGTATGCCCTCGGGCCTTGCGCTGGCTCCTCTCTGGCTGCAGCACCTCTCACCTGGTCCACCTAGGCCAGCTGCTTGTCCGTGTTCAGGTTCCAGCCAGCAGGTACCTCCTCAGGGAGGCTTCGCCTGAGCACCCCGCCCAGCAGGTTTTCCAGCCCCCACGCAGCGTCTGTCACATGCCCCTTCCCCACACTCACGCACCACCTGAGACTGTTCACTTGCCTGTGCGCTGGCTGGCTGACCCCCTGGAATATCAGGTCCATGAAAGAGAATGCTGTACCTCCTGGTCACCACCATATCCCCAGGACCCAGCACAGTACCTGGTACGTGGTGCACACTCAGTGCAGCTGTGATGGGTCAGGGGACCCTGCCTCCACCCTGGGTCTGAGCCAGGAGCAAGAGGAAAGGGAAATGAACGGTTAACCCTTTCCTGTCTTGTGAGTGCCCATGTGCTGGGCCTTCTGTAGATACTAAGAACACGCTCCTGGCTTCTAGAATTGGAAGAGTCTTTGAGGAGTTGAAACCTTTATACCAAACATTGTTGTACACTTCAGACATGCCAAAACGTCAAGACACGGCACACAGTCAGCCAGAGACAGCACTTCCAGCATTGTCGGAAATGCACGGGGGTGGGGGAGGGGGGGTACACAGAGAGCAGAGGTGGCATGGGGGTTGTGTTATGGGAGTTGATACGCGGTGACAACAGAGCCTCCTTCCAAGCACAGCAGGACTGGAGCTGGTCTGGGGAGGAGGGGTCAGGGCAGGGGAGAGGGTAGCAGGTGGGGAAGGGGAGGCCGTGTGGGTGTGGCAGGTGGGCAGGGAGCAGTGGCTGGGAAAAGCTGCATCTTTACTGTTGCTGTTCGGCAGGAGCTGAAGTGGGAATCAGCACATCGCGGATCCATGCCCGGGGCCCAGTAGGGCTCGAGGGACTGCTTACCACCAAGTGGCTGCTACGAGGGCAGGACCACGTGGTCTCAGACTTCTCAGAGCACGGAACTCTGAAATATCTTCACGAGAACCTCCCTGTTCCTCAGCGAAACACCAACTGACGCGAGCCAGGAGAACCCAGCAGTGTTCCCGGTGGACAGCGAGCTTGTGTTAGCATCTCAGGGGACAAGTCGCGTCCTGACTCCCAGCTCCTGCAAGAGCCCGCCTGTGGGAAACCACGCTGCCTCCGTGCTGTGGGCTCCGGTCAGCAGTACCAAGTCTCCGCTGACACGCGTATTCCAGCTGCCCCCCCCCCCCCTTTTTTTCCTTTGGAAATACTTCCTATGGATTGGGACTTGGCTTTGCCCAGCCCAGTTCCTTTGATGATAGATACAGAAGGGTGGAATTGCCCCGCATAAAAGGCGAAGGAAAATCATGGCTGCTTATTAGTGCCTCGGTGAGGTAAAGGCTCCCTGGCGTTCCCTGGTACCAGAGCCAGTCTCCCAAGAAGTCCTTGCGCATTTCACTTCCTTTCCTTTCACATGCAAGTCGTCCCCACCCGGGAAGAGTGTAGAAAAGGGGCCTCTCTGCTTTTAGCATCCTCCTCAGAAACACTCACGGAAGCAGGCTGCCTCGAGTCTGTGGGAAGATGCGCGGTTCAGTTTACTCAGAGGAAGCAGCACCCGGATGCCCGCAGCTCTCCCGCTGCGGGGGACGCGCCTGGACCCTGAGCAGCGGTGCCCAGGAGCCGCGCGTCTCGGAACGTTCCCCGCAGCCAGGAGGAGCGACATTTTTGTATGAATTATTTTGTCAATCTGTCCTTTTCCTCCAAAACAGAAATTTGAGGATTATTTTAATACTTTGGATTCCTCCCCCCTCCCTTTTTGGAGAAATAAAGTTCTTAGGAAAAGCCTACGTGTGTGATTGAAGTTTTATCCCTTATCTGCCGTGATGCTTTTCCCTCTCATGTGACCCTCCTGCCCCCACTTTTAGGGGTGGCCTGTTCTCCAGAAGCTGGCTGGGAGACGAGCCATCTGTCTTAGCGCTATCCCCCATGGGAGGGACTCACGGTGGGAGAGAGGAAAGCAGTACGTGAAACCCCAGAGCTTCCAGACTGGGAGCGTGGTGATGGCCCGAGTCTGTCTGGTGCATGTGTGTGACACGAGCATGCTGTCTCCATGATGTGTGCCAAAGTATCCACCCAGCTGCACAGAGCCCTGGCCACCGTTCCCAGATTGGGGATGTAAATAGCTCTGTTCTCCCAGCTGCCCTGCCAGCCTTGTTGTCTCGGGATCACCTGACAGCTCGACCCCGCACCTCTTTCCCCTCCATCAAGCCTATCCTTAGGGTCCCTGGTGCCCAACAGGCTGCAGTTGAATGAGTTCTGTCTGCTGGGGCCCTTCCTGAAGAAATAACCACTTCCCGCTTCCTTTTATGCTCCAAGGATGTCTTATGGGCCCCAAGATGCACGGTGTCCTGTGGAACCTTGTTCCCAGGCTGTCCCCAGACTCTGCCTCTTATCCAGACCCTTACATGGAATAGCAAGCCACCGTGCCTGCCCTGCCCTCTGAACAAGGATTCTGGCATAGCTTGCCTGAAAAGGCAATAAACAAAGTCATGCTGAGACTATATCGCAAGTGCCACAATAAGCTCGCAACTGGACAACAAGTGCCCCAGGCGGGAGTCTAAAATAGAAAGTGACCCAACAGGGCCAGAGCCCTTGGAGAGAAGAGGCCATGGGGCAGGCAGGCCTGGAGTTCAGCCCTGAGAGATGTGTCCTACCAGTAACCAGTGGGCCGAGCATCCAGGCAGGAGGCTGGTGCAAGCAGACACCTGGAGGTGGAGATGAAACCAACGAGTTTGGGGAGCAGTGAATATTCCAGTTCGGGGCAGAAGGTTCATGTGGCTAAACATGAAGGTGTTACGTTGTAGACAGCTGGTGTTGTCTCCCTGCTGGAGCCACAGTTCTTAAGGCATGGATGGGGGTGGGCAATGACCTGGGAAATACAGGTAAAGCTCAGGTACCTAACAAGGTCAGTTTCCTGTATGCAGAAACCTTGGCTTTAGACGGTTTCTACAGGGAGCATGGGCCACCCATGTTCTTGGCTTTTTCTACAAAAGTGATGCAATCCCTACACAGGAGCCAGGATGCAGCCACAGTCCCATTCATCCCCCTGCAGTGGGCAGTCTGGTAACGCTCACGGATTGTCCTGGCTCCAGAGGTGGGCACAGCTCTGGCACAAAGCAAGCACTTAGTAGGGGCGAGGTGGTCTCCTGCTGTGAGTCTTCAGTTGCCACTGTAGCCTTGACTGTGTTCTACGAGAAACCAGAAGTTTCTGCTGGTAACTTGAGGCAGTGTTGGGGAGCCAGATTTTCTGGTCACCAGAAGCCCAGCCTTGCCCTGCGCATGAGCAGTGAGAACAGCCAAGTCTGATCACACATTTAAGCGCCTGGGTTTTGGGAGTGGCTGCTGTTGAGAAGTGGTTGCAGCAACAGAGAACCTACTCTGAGCCCAAGAAAGAGAAGGTGCAGGGCTGGCACTGTGACATAGCAAGTAAAACTGCCGCCTGCAGTGCAGGCATCCCATATGGGGGCCGGTTCGAGTCCTGGCTGCTCCACTTCCAACTCTCTGCTGCAGAAGAGGATGGTCCAAGTCCTTGGGCCCCTGTACCCACGTGGGAGACCTGGAAGAAGCTCCTGGCTCCTGGCTTTGGATCAGCGCAGCTCGGGTCATTGTGGCCAATTGGGGAGTGAACCAGTGGATGGAGGACCCCTCTCTCTCTCTGCCTCTCCTTCTCTCTCTATGTAACTCTGACTTTCAAATAAATAAGTAAATCTTTAAAAAAAAAAAAAAAAAAAAAAAAAAAGGATGCATCCAGGTGAATAGCGTCACCTGCCTAGAAGAAGAGAGAGGCTGCTGGGGGGAGGGGCTGCCAGGGATGGGACCCAGCAAGAGACTGGATTTCCAAACACTTACCCACAGGCACTACCACGGTCTAGTATAAAACATACGGAATGTGTGTGCTCTTCTGAATCGAATCTTCGTATTTAAATCTCCAAGCAAACACAAAGATTTTGTATATTTGGACATAGTCACCTGGAAATCTTGTCTGGCAACGGTTTTAAATCTAATAAAATGCCTTTTCTTTCTCCGAGGCAGGTGCTGTTGATGTCATTACTCAAATCTGTCTCAGGTGTACATGGAACAGAATATTCTGGGTGGCAGTTGCTGCCCTGTTAGGAACAGCAGCCAGGGCAGCAGCAATCTCGAGGGATGTTTTCAGGAGCAAATAACAGAAGCACAGCTTACACCAGTTTGAACAAAGTGGGGAATGTGCAGTATCTGCCTGCGTGACAGAGAAGTCCAAACAAAGGTACAGTCCAGGCCAGTCCTAACCAGGGCTGCGGCTCTGCTTCACTGTCCATCTCCAGCTCAGTGGTTCTCAAGCTTCAGAATCTTCAGTCATTCAGCGCTTACCCACACAGACTGCTGATTCCACAGATCGGGGGTGAGGGCTCGGAATTTTCATTTCTTTTTGTTTTCTTTGGCAGCAAATAGGATTGATTATTGTTGATTTGAGAAAAGAGACCTCAGGATAGTGGAAGCTCTCACGAGTGAAGGGCCTGCCACTTGTTCAGGGGAGCCGGGGATGTGTTTGACCCCTTGCCCATCTGGGATGAGCCACTTCTCAGCCACCGTGTCTTCAAATTCGTCCCCTTTAAACTTGGTAAAGCCTCACTTTGAGCTGGATCTTCTGGCAACCAGACAACTTGAACTTGGCCTTACACAGGGCCTCAGTCACGCGTTCCTTGTTCTGCAGCTTGGGTGAGGATAGACATGATGACCTGGCCAATGCGAATGCTGGCTGCTCCACCCTGTGGCTTTCCAAGGGCACCCTGCCTAACTGGAGTCCAGATTGGGAACAGCATTAGGTCAGAGGCAGGAATGTCTACACGGAAGGGTTATCTGTCAGATCCCTTAGGACAACCCTGGATATCTGCTAACTTGAGCCCAGCCACATTGTGAGTGGGCTGTGGAGTAAGGTCAGAAAACTGTTTCCTGCTTCCCGCATTGAACAAAAATCTTAAATTCCACTCTTAGGAAATTGGCCTGGATCAATCCCTGTCGTTAACATAGATGAGGAATTGAGCTGCATGCCACAGAAAACCCAAACAGCTAGGACTTGAACGTGATAGGAGTGTTTTTCTCTTGTATATAAAGAGGTGTAGAGGACGGCAGCCCAAGACTGTGGGGAGGGCTCCCTGGTGGCATCAGACACTCGGGCTGCTTTTGGTTTCTGCTCTTCCTTCCTAGGGCGAGGCCCTCGTCCAAGTGCGCCTGGCATTCCAACCACTGGGGCTGAGGTCTGGGCAGCAGGCAAGAGTATAGGCCAGCTGCCCTCTGCTAAGGGACATTCCAATGGCTTGACTAGAACTGGCTCGTGGCCTCCCTATCTGCAAGGGTTCTGGAAAGTATAACTCTTATCTGAGCTCGTTGCTGGGCTGGGAAAATAGGGGTTCTCTTGGTGAGAGAGAAGGGAAATCGGGTAGGGAAGGAAGATGTTACTAATTGATTGGTGGAGTTGAGTGTGGAATCCATTCACCTGCTGCACAATGAAGGGGAGAAGCAGCAGAGGCCAGGGAGGCAGCCACAGCGCCCAGGACACTCGTGGAGAGGAAGTGGCAGGGGAGGTGACCACACACTGGAGGCTCACACCGCCACCTGCAGCCCGCCATGATAGACGGAGCACGAAGCTGGCACAGAATTTAGTTCCCAGCTCTGCCACTGACAAGTCTTTGAACGTTTGTGCCTGAATTTCCCCATCCTACCTGGGTCAGCTTTCCATTTAGATGGGGGGAGGGCGGACGGGGAGTATCCATCACTAACTTGCAAATTAGCTGAACAAGTTGTTTTTCCTGTCTGACATCCACAGCTGCCCAAGCCTTGGGTGGACGTTTATATACACACATACAGGTTAACTGCCAGATCTGTGGGCCTCAGTGTTCTGCAAACTGTGGTCCAAGCATCATTGTAGCAAAATGAGTGGAGGTGCGCAAGAAAGATGAGATGAGATGCCCGGATCTCTTGAGCCAAGATTTCTGGGGCTAGGGCAGGAACGGGAGTTGTTAACAAGTCCCTTGTGTAATTGGTGTTTGCCAGTTACTCCTAATAACTCTAAAGAGTGGATTTTTCTTAGAAGACCTTGTTATTCCCTTGTGCAGATGCACAGCTTTTATACTGCAGGATTGGTGGTAGAAAGCGAAATTGCTATAGGAGATGTGGAGAAAAGACAAAATCTCTGACAGTTCCGGAGAGGAAAGAGCGAGTTGTAGGCAGTGCTGCTGTGCCCACGTAGGGGTGCGGACTGAAGAACAGGAAATTAGGCTGCAGATTGCTTAACCACCAATGTGTTGCCTGCTTGGAATCTGATGGCCCAGTGGGGGTTGTTATTGTCTGAATGTGTCTCCCTGCCCAAAGTCATTTTAAAGACCTAAGCCCCAGGCACTTCGGCTCATTAGGCTAATCCTCCGCCTAGTGGCGCCGGCACACCGGGTTCTAGTCTCGGTTGGGGCACCGGATTCTGTCCCGGTTGCCCCTCTTCCAGGCCAGCTCTCTGCTGTGGCCCGGGAGTGCAGTGGAGGATGGCCCAAGTGCTTGGGCCCTGCACCCCATGGGAGACCAGGAGAAGTACCTGGCTCCTGCCATCGGATCTGCGCGGTGTGCCGGCCACAGCGCGCCAGCCACGGTTGCCATTGGAGGGTGAACCAACGGCAAAAAGGAAGACCTTTCTCTCTCTCTCTCTCACTGTCCACTCTGTCAAAAAAAAAAAAAAAAAAAAAAAAAGAGAGACCTAAGCCCCAGATGACGATATGTGGAGATGGAGCTTTGGGGAGGTTATTCGAGTTGGAGAT